TCTCTTTCCGAATCTGGCCACCCTCATCATCCGAACAGCCTTTCAGCAGCATTTCTTAACGACACCTCTTACACACGAATAAACTTTACCATCAAGCGAGGTGGCTTTTCGGCGAAAGCGGCAAGGGTGGCGTTCCAGACCTCGATGTCTGAGACAGTGATTAGATCTAGACTCTCAGTTCAGGACGCCGTATCGAGGACGAAATAATTCTACAACAGATATTAACGTAGCTTTTGCAGCAAACTATATGTCTATCAAGACTTTAGCTATGAACAGTGCTCAAGCCATCTTACGATATATATTCCCGTAGTTGACGGAAACTAATAGTTAGCTGGGCGACCATTCAGCGCTTCAACGAGTCCGTCGGCCGCCGTCTCTGGATATCTCGTGGCCAGGCACTCTGTAGCTCTAGACCTGCTTTATCTCCGGTCGAAATGTCCGCAAGCTTGGGAGCTTTGGCCACAGTCTTTGTTGTGAATAACTCCGAAGCTATTGCCCAGTTCGTAAGACGTATAAGACGCTGCCATATGACCCTCCAGCCCTCCAACTGCACAACTCCAGGAATGCGAACATCCCTTGAACAGTAAGTTATGATAAACATATTACTCCTGCATGATATAAGCTGAGTTAAAGATGTCCTGTCCTCCAATAGGATTGTTTTTCTCCTAGGTCATATCATACAAAGCTTGACCAGAAGGAATGGTTCCCAAAAGTGACAAAGCTAATTAGTGTCTCAAAACGGTTGTTTTCTGGCTTGCCAAGCTCAACTTGTGTAACACAAAGCCCCCCGAAGGAGACTTTACGCTAACTTGGTGTATGATCAAAGGGTTTTAGGGGTGTGGCAACCGTCACGAGTTCCAATCTACGACTCATGGCGAGGAAGCCTACACATATTCTTATGAAGATATGATCAGGACCATACCTTTTAGAGTGGAGTTTATTAGCCTATACAAATGGATATTCCTATACAATCAATAGCCTATTGGGCTAGGAGTGAGGTTATATCGCATCCGGAAAAGGGTGTATCGTTAGCAAAATGAGTGGTCGAGATCTATGCCACTCCCTTCGGTCTAGATAATTGACTCTGCCCGTATAAGCTCCAATCACGGATCTAGACCGACATCAGGCTGACTTCAGACCTTTCTTGTCAGATTTTCATGCCTGGGTCACTTTGTGTCGACTTTATGAGCATTCATGTTGGTACTCTCTGCCGAAACAACAGAATAACCTGTTCCCAGAGGTTATGGGCTTTGGAGTGCACAACCCCGATAGCTGGTCTTCTTCAAGCAAGCCCTGTGGCTTCCTTTAGCCCGCAGAGCTTTTCATACAATATTTATTCACTTTCTACGTCCAAGATCTTGAGGTTAGTCTAAGCAACACGAGCTCAGTGGAAAATCAGGTATCATTAGTCCCGCAATCTTGAGCTGAACCAAAATCCCGGGAGATCTTCCTGGGAATCGATTGATAGAGACTTGTTCATTGACTTTCAGGTTAGGGATGAGAGGCTCTCTACGTGAGCCTTCGACAGATCAAGTGCTTTGGTATGCTGTACAGAAATATCAGTCGGTTAATTATAGCCAGTCTTAGCTCACTATTGGAACAGCCTGAAATAAAAGCCCTAAACACTAAAACCAGGGCAAGCTGTTGATATACACCCTTTCGTATGACATCTGCACCAGGTCCCAGGTTACTCTAGGCGAGAGGAGAAATTCGGAGCCATATGAGTATAACCTCTTCGGTCGCTTTTCTCTCTCGGCGTAGGCTCTGAAGTGAGTTTCTAAGCGTCAGTAGACATTTTTGCTAGAGCTACCTATAACTTTATCGTAGCTGCACTCGGCCAGAATGACTAGTCGTGGCATGAATCGAGCTAGATTCGATGGGGTTGATGAGATATAAACTATGTAGTAATGTTTCATCTAAGACGCCATCCAGAGTTCAAGCTTGAGGTAGATGACAAAAGGCCAATGTTGATGGTTCTTGAGATCGAAAGACGAAGAATGCAAAGAGATCGATATGTTTTGAGACTCTGATAAGGCCATCTTTCAGAAAGCGTCTTTTTTTTTAAAGAAGCTGAAAAGTAAATTGTAGATGCCTCATCACTAGCTCCGATCCCATTCAAGCACTGGCTGAAACCTTGACCCAGCGCTGCCAATACCTCCAGCTTTTTTCACATTATCCAGAATATCCGTGATCTACTCAATGTGTACCTAGGATGGATCTTCAACCACTGCTTTGATCTATCCCTGCAGCATTTTCAACTTCTCTTTCTTCCAACTCTTCAACTCTGTCACAGTATGACCCCCATTTATGACTCCGCTTCAAAAGTGATTACCGTCTCTCAAGAGTCGAATGGAGGGTGTGCTGCCTCATGAGTGAGATGCAAACTAGCCCAATGATAGCGAAGGCCAGCAGTGTAAGCCACACTCCCCTGAAGGCCTCTACAAAAGAGCTGATGACGCCGTCATACCATCCTTCAGGAAGATGCTTAATCTCATCCAAGTCGTCTCTGATGCGACGAATCTCATCTGCAGCGCCAGGTTCGGCACCGAATCTATCCCAAAGTCTAGCTTTGAGAATATTTTGGTACACAGCTGAGCCAATGGTAACTCCCACAGTACTACCGAGGCTGCGTGCCAGATCTAAAGCTTATTAGCAATGCGAACTCAACAAAATACGTCTAATTTACTGACAGGTTGCAGAGGTGATGACGGCCTGCTGAGAGTGGTCAACGGCAGCAATGCATGCCAACAACGTCGTTGTAAGGGTTGCACCATATCCAGAACCGATCAAGAAGAAAGAAACTCCCATCAGCCACTTGGGACTATGCTCATTCTGGATTGTGAGAACTACAACTCCCGCAATAAGGAAGAGCAAGCCCACTACACCTAGTTTGGTGTATTTTCCCGTTCTCTTCATGATGAAGCCCGAGAGGAGAGATCCCACTGAGATACCGATCGGTGATGGGAGAATCTGAATACCAGATTGGGTGGCACTACTGCCAAGAACCTGCAGGTACAGAGGGACATAGAAGAGCGCCCCCATTACCGCCATCGTAGAGGCAAGATTGCAGAGACAGGCATTCAAGACAGTCCGATCAAGAAGAAGCTTCACTGGTATGATTGGCTGGCGGGCTTTGCTCTCCCAGAACAAGAATAAGCCAAATGTGATGAAAGCAAGGGGTATCGTGGTCAGCGGCAGAGGGTGAGTCCACGGCACAAGATTCCCGCCTGAGTTGAGGCCCAAGAGCAGAAATACCAAGAAAGAAGATGTCAAGAATGCCCCCATAAAATCGATGCGTGCAAGGAACGACTTATCCGACTGCTTAGGGGGGACCCTGACCAAGAAATGAACTGCTACAGCAGAGACGAGTACTGGGGGTACTTGGATCAAAAAGGCAAGTCTCCAGCCCTGGGATGTGTGATCATTGATCAAGCCACCAAACACACCACCCAGCATTGCACCAGATCCGTAACAGATGTTACCTAAGCCCTGGATAATGCCTCTCTTACGTAGAGGGACCAGGTCTGAGCCCAGGAACGTCGAGATGCTCATCAATCCACCACCTCCAATACCTGCGACAACACGTCCTATGATCATGGTAGTCTGATCACGGGCCAGACCGCAAATGAGATTACCGGCTGCGAAGAATATGTTGCTGAATACGAGACCCGGGCCTCGGCCAAAGATATCTGTCAATCGCCCCGAAATAGGTTGGCATGCGGCATTGGAGATGAGGTAGGCGGTTGCAAGCCATGACAACAAGCTTAGGGATTGGAACTCGCTCGAAATTGGTCCAGAGAGAGTCGCAATGATAGTAGAGTCGATGGCGCCCAAGAAGACTCCTATCCAAGCTGTACCAAAGATGAGAACTAACCGGCCAGTTGACACCTCCTCAGCAATAACGGTTGTCTCTTCCTCTTGTCCTGTTGGCAAGCCTCGATCAGGGCCATCTCCTTGAGCTTCACTTGGTGGCTCGGCATCTTGATTCTGAGATTGACTTGTAGACTTGAGCAAGGGAGTTCGTTCATCGCTGAGAGCATTCGTGCCGTTTTCGGCCACGGCAGATGCTACGCTGCCGCTGGCAGATTCACGCATCCTTACTATCACCAAGCAATTGAACGAAACGAGGAATCAATTGAAGAGAGACTCGGTGCGGGCGATTAGAGTAGTATCATGTATCCCTGTGCAAAGTAAGACTTATGTGAGATGGAATCGAGGATTACTGACAAAAGGGCGTTGTTGATATATCCGTGGTTACGATCGGCGACTATCGGCCTATCCGAGCAGCCGCTAGTATCAAAAAAGGGTAATCTTCCAATCGAGATAAGAAGAGCCGACCAGCTCCAATTCACTAACACGCAAAGGGGATGACACAGGGATCAAGTAACCAATGACGTCTACGGTATTCCAGGGAAGGGTCCAGGGTAGTCTACACCGTAAGAATTGGAACTGGACTGATACATGTATCTTGTTGTCATGAGAGATGAAGTCGTAGTCGATCATCATCAGAAGATGATAAGCTGGTTAAGGAACTAAGTACTCATTATCGTTTGTTATGCTATCGAGAACTGTCAGAAATTGTCATATTAGTGTCTGGATGATGGACACTACGGAATCGACGAAAGGGTTCAGTCTCAGACGGTAATCATTATATGTATCAGCCAACACAGTCATGATGGGCGAGGTCGCAACGCATCGAGACATGACAGCTCATCTTTTACGCGGTAGTATGTGGTATGACGCGTATTCAGGACCCATCGCTCATGAGTAGGTTTCACAATTAGACACCATGATAGCTCGGCTTAAGCCTTTTGTTCATTTACATTCATAATTTTATAATCATGACCAAGTCCAGACGGTACAGGCCCATACCCAAATCCATGTCTAGTCCATTGGGTACTTTTCATCATTAAATGCAACGCTATGCAAACTCATACCCATCCATGTCAGTGGTCTTTCAACTGGACAAGCAAACAACAGATTCAAACATCGACCGAGAACTATAGTGAGTTCTCAATCTCCATGAGCTCCTTGATACCCTCAGCAATGCCCTTGGCTTGCTCAGGGGTGAGACGGGGCAGGGGTCGTCGAGGGTAGCCTCCATAGCCGTAGTAGCTCTGGATAGCAGACTTGGTACCGGCAATGGCAGCCTTGGTCAGTACCCAGTCGGCCTTGGAGAGCTTCTTCTGGAGAGCTTGAGCCTCATCCTTCTTGCCCTTGACGTAGAGATCCCAAACCTTGACGCAGGTCTTGGGCATGACGTTGGCACCACCGGCAATGATTCCGCTACCGCCGCTGACCAGAGTTTGGATGGTGAAGTCGGCAATACCGCCAAAGGCAAGGTAACCAGAGCCTTCTTGGAAGGGGGTCTTGGCATCGGTAGCGAGAGCAACTCGGGTGAGCTTACCGGTGCTTCCACAGGTAAATTTTGTGCCGACAATGTTGGGGTGCTGGCCGAGCTTGATGAGGAGATCGCTGTCCATGTCAAGGCCAGCAACAGCACCAGGGTAGTTGTAGAGAACGATGGGGATAGGGCTTGCATCGGCGAGGTCGGTGAAGTAGTTGTAGATGGCATCCTCACTCATCTGGGCCTTGTAATAAGAAGGAGGGAGAACAAGAGTGGCAGCAGCGCCAACCTCAGCAGCCAGCTTGCTCAGCTCGATAGTGCCCTTGACACTGCCCTCAGTGGCACCGAGGAAAACGGGAACGGATTGGAAACCAGCCTCATCCAGGGCCTCTCGGGTAGCCTTTGTGACAGCAATCTTCTCCTCACGTGTGCAGTGAACAGCCTCGCCATTGGAGCCCATGGCAACAAGACCGGCCAGGCCAGCTTGACCTAATCGCACGGCGTGCTTCTTAATGGTGGGAATGTCGAGCTCCTCAGTCTCGGGGTCGAAGAAGGTCATGACAGGGGCGTAGATGCCGGTAGGCAGCGACTTGGGAGTGGCGGCATGGCCATTTTGGCCGTTGGTAGCACCGTTAGAAGTAGTCATGATGAGATGTCTAGTGTGTGCCTGGGGATATTTGTTGGAGAATGATGGCTAGTGGAGTGTCTTAAGACTATGAGAGACGACCGTAGACGGATGAAAAGTAAAAGACAGACAGCAACGAACAAGAACGGGACAAAACAGGGCAAGCCGGGGTTTAAAAGAAACGGAGAGGGACTTTATAGCTAGCATACCTTACTATACGGTAGCGTATAAACCTCAAGACATCATGTCGAATGGAACCGACAAACCCATTTTCGGTACCTTCGCTACGCTACTGTATCCGTACCGTACCTCGCGGTAACAGTAACCAGTTTGGGGGTGGATTCGCCTCGGGAAGTCAAGTGCTCAAAGGACCGTGTGGGTATTGGCTCGATCGCCCCCCAATTGGAGTAATGCAATGTGAGTCTGGAGAAGAGAGGACCACCGAAATATCCATTTGCGATGGTAAGAGTTGCGCAACATTCGACAGAGAGAGCTAATTCAGAAGTGATGTGTTGGTTGGGTCTGAGGCTATGAGACTGTCATACGTCGTCACGTAGTCTGGTCTCACCAAGCAAATTGAGTACGCCGAACGAGATGATGCAGCACAATTCCATATCACGCTGCGGCTAAAGTCGACAGACGGGTAGATAGATAAAACCATTTGCAGGTAGTATACCCAGGACAGGCCAAGAGGATGCCAATATGACCGATTGCCTGCCTCTTCAGCTGCCGGGTGATCTGTTTGATAGGATGCGAGATCGGCACTTCCGATCAGAGCGAACCACCACCACCAAGAATAACATAAGTCTCGCACTGACATCTATTGATGCACCCTCTACCATCGCCAGTCTCTCAATGCTGGTTACAGACAACACAGACGTGGGGAGCCGGTTAGGCGGGACGAACAGGAGACGGAGGCTTCAAGGTCTAGGAAACCGTTGGATCGCTTGGCAAATCCATGTTCAACATCCCGCGCTGAAGTCGATTAGCCGGCCGGGATATGAGTTCTACAGTAGTGTACCTTGTGTAGGTCCAGGTGGAGAGTCACCCTTTTGCCTTGGACCCCGAGCTGACCAAGGCTTGTATTTTGCGGCGTCACGGTGTGTAAGAGAGGCAAAGTGCATGGGTTTATCGAGACTGACCGGAAGGTGACCGGGCTGTGCTTGTGCTTGTACATGTCTGTACTGTACTTCCACTGAGTGTGTGCACGTCCGAGTTAGTTACTTACTTGGCAGTCAGCGTAAAAGTGTCGAGGTGAGGAATTTGGCGTTTGGTGCTGATGGGGTAAAAGCCAAAGTCTGGCTCTGAGTGGGCGGAGAATTTCTGGCGATGGTACCCCCAACGTGGCACCTGATGCCGTGTTACTACTGATGTACGTGAGGGGTCAAAGTCACGAGACTCTAGAGTTGGTTGATATATCAATTTACTTGGAACTGGATGCGAGAAAGCTCCTGATAGACTTTCGGCACTTGATTCTGTGACGACAATTGATGTTATCAACACTTTATATACGACGCTGAAACGGTTTCAACTGCCCGATAATTCACAAGCTGTAACTAAACTCTGTTGCAGTAAACATCAAATCATATCACCCATGATTACCATTGCTTCCGGTCATGAGCCGGGGGTTCTAGTGCCGTGGGGGTGGGGGAATATTGACCCCTCCAAAGCACTAATCCTCTTGATCTGTACCCCTCACTGCACCTCGCAACCCGTGGATGGCGATTTATAGTGATGATCCTCATGGGTTTGGGGGCTGGTGGTCCTGGCTTCTAGACGCTCCATCGAATTTATGGTTCCTGTGAGAAATGCCTCTCTAGTCAGAATGGGAAATGATTCTATCCTTCACTAGCCCAATACTTTCGAGAATTGCTGTCATGATAACCTATCGCCGCTGTAAATTACTCTGAAGATCCCTCATTCTCTCCAATTTTGACGGTTTCTGTCATAGCACGAGGGGATTTCCCCGCCCCCGATGTTACATACAGTAACTATGTGAGACAAACACCACCAGCATGATCACCGAATCAACCACAACTGGATACATCCGTAGCAATGGCACCATTATCTCAAGGATTCAGTCTCATCTCTTCCCCTACCCCTTTCTCCCCCAGATTTCTGCGAAGTAATATCATCCCCACACTCACATGAGCACATCAACACAATATTTATCCGGCATCATGACTCCATATTCCCAAAGCTATCCATCTCTCTAGCTTGATATTGGGGGGATTTGACGCGGGGACTCATTTTTCCTCCAATCACGTCCGGAGAGAACCCCGAACTGTCCCCCAGCTTTGGTTCCAAGCTAGCGGAGACATGAGCGAGCATTCATAAGAACAGTATTCAACCTTCATGTCCATCTTCTCATGATTGCACTCCAGACCTCGCCTCTACACCCTCTTGCGTATCATTTGACTTTCGTATACGTTCATACGTAATTTGGGACTCGTTTATATACCCTCATACTCTGTTTTTGCTCTCATCATAGCTTCAGCCCCTCCCCCGCCTTGCCCCTCGGCATAACATCACAATGGAGCCTCTCAATGTTCTCATGGTGAGTTGATCCAAAAACAACAGTCTCAAACTCGGTTCATGTCAGTTTGCTAATATGTAACCTTCTAGATTGGTACTGGAGAGTACACCACCGGTTTCGTCGGTGGCGGTGCCTCTGGCTCAGACAAGAAGGTTGGCGTTGTTGGTCTCAGTCTCTTTGATCTGCGCCGTCGCGAAAAGGTCAACAAGCTGGGAATGGTTGGTGTCAATGGCAAGAAGTTCCCCGCCATTCGTAAGTATCTCCCGCACACAGTTGCCATGCTCATGACTAACTTATACCAGGCGAACATCTCAACAAGAACATCCAACAAGTCTACAACAACCTCGACACCTCCTTCGACTCATTCCCAGAAAACGACAAGGTCGACCCCGACGCCTACAAGACCGCCATTGACGCTCTCAAGCCTGGCGATGCCATCACAATCTTCACCCCCGACCCTACCCATTTCCCCATCGCAAAGTACGCCATTGAGCGCGGCATCCATGTCATGATCACCAAGCCCGCTGTCAAGGTCCTCGAGGAGCACCAGCAGCTGGTTGATCTCGCTCAGAAGAAGGGTGTCTACGTTTACGTTGAGCACCACAAACGTTACGACCCTGCCTACGCTGATGCTCGCGCAAAGGCTCAGAAGCTTGGCGACTTCAACTACTTCTACAGTTACATGTCTCAGCCCAAATCACAGCTCGAGACTTTCAAGGCCTGGGCTGGAAAGGAGTCTGATATATCTTACTACCTTAACAGTCACCACATCGATATTTGCGACTCAATGGTCCAGGAGCGCGGATATGTGCCTGTGAGCGTCAACGCCTCTTCCTCCAAGGGTGTTGCTGTTGATCTGGGCTGCGATCCTATCACTGAGGATACCATCTCACTCCTCGTCACCTGGAACAAGAACGGCGAGCCCAGCAAGCGAGCCGTTGGTGTCTACACAGCCTCGTGGACCGCTCCTCAAAAGGCTGGTGTCCACTCGAACCAATACTTCCACTACCTCGCTGCCAACGGTGAGATCCGTATCGACCAGGCCAAGCGTGGCTACGACGTTGCAGATGACTCTATCGGTCAATTGATGTGGTACAACCCCTTCTACATGAAGTACGCTCCTGATGAGGATGGCAACTTCGCTGGTCAGACTGGTTATGGTTACATCTCCATTGAGAAGTTTGTTGATGGTTGCAGAGCTGTCAACTCTGGCAAGCTCAAGCCTGAGGACCTCGACGCCAAGCCTCTCCCTACTCTCAAGAACACTATTGCCACAACGGCTATTCTTGAGGCTGGCCGAAGAAGTATTGATGAGAACCGAGAGGTCAAGATTGTTATCGAGAACGGCAAGTGGAGGCTGGAGTAATGGATGAAAGGAAAGGAAAGGAAAGGAAAGGAATAGGAGAAGGATAAATACCATTTGCTACGTGTAGATATGTCTGATGGGTTACGGCCAAAAGTAATGATCAAGCCTTTTGTTATTGCAACCTTGTAGAAGTGATCTACCAGTTCCTTCAAGTGAACATGATTATGCTCTGAGTCTAATGCGGGGTGGACACTAAAACACCATGGCCCTCTAAACTCTTAAGCTCCACCAAAAACTCAACACCACACCTTATATACCCTCGTTTCAAAGCCGGTTTTGACGTTTCAATACTTCTCACTACACGAAGTTCCAAGCCAGCCTCATATAACATCTCCTCCCTGCATAGCCATCATGCCCGAACCCCGCTTCTCCGATCTGATCCTCCCTCAAAATGAACAACTCTCCATGTCCCAACTCATGGCGTCTTTCAAACGCACCACACTTACAATCCACAACCGTCTGACTAGCATCCAAACTGACGCTGACTTTGTGGATGCGGTGTCTCAAGCATATAGCCCCCGAACCCTTGTGGCTAATGAACGTTGTGGAAGTTGGTATATTCCGCCTGAGCGTAAAGGTGCAAGTGCGTATTTTAAGAGTACAGATGGCCATGAGAGGGCGTGGAAGTTTAGCACCAGACGGTTGAACTTGCATTTGGTGGAGATTATTGAGAATAACGATGGGTATGTATAGAGGCCTAGTTATGTTCCTGTTAGCTGAGATCTAACATGTTGATAGTATCATAATCGTCGACTCTACTCGCCGTGGAAAGAGTATGTTCTCTCTCATGACAACCAGAGTTTCGGATAAAGCGACGACTGACTTATATAGGGATGCCTGATGCCCTTTCATCGACAATTCCTATCTGGTGCACAGTCCTCAACCTCACTCTTCTCCCCTCAAACCCATCCTCAGCAAATCTCTATCTGCCAGCTCATCTCCCCGCAACAACACACTCCCAAATATGCGCACTCATCCCTGAATTCGTTGCTTCCTTCAAGGCACTCAATCTCAATCTTCCAACATGTCTGACAAAACCACTCCGCCCATTCTGGGTAACCCCAGACTCATCTCTTCCCTCTGTCCAAGACACATCCTCCATATTTGAAGACTTCCGCCCTGTCATCTGCTGCACGGCTAGTCGCCGAGTTATAGGCAGCGAGATGGATGAGGGAGGATACATTCAAGGTGCGGCTGACGATACTGAGATGTGGGCGCATGATCTTACGGCGCCTTTGTTTTGGGAGAATATTGATGAGCTTCTCAAGACGCCAGAGGCTGAACTGCCAAATCTGATCTCCAGACTAGTCAGCGACCATGCTGCTAGCAAGAAGAACGAAGGAACACAGATAGAGCTGACACCACACCTTTCAGTTTGCCCTCTGCCACTTCACGCTAGCCCCTCAGAATGTCGAATTGCAGTAACTCAAGACACGACACCAAAGGACAACTGGATAAAGTCCAAGACTTACATGCAAGCCGGCCTTGGCAAGAACAAGCTGGCTAGTCGCAACCTTCGCACTTCTCTACCTGAAATATGCGACTTTGCTGCTAAATATCTTGCCTCGGCCACAGAGCCTGATCAGCAACGGATTGTGATGGCATGTGAATCAGGGCGAGATCTATCAGTCGGAGTGGCCCTCGCGATATCATGCTACCTATTTGATGATGACGGGAACATCAGAAAATCAACAGAAGACATATCATTTACAAAGACTTTCATAAAGTCGAGATTGGGTGTCATTATGACAGCTTACCCAGGCGCCAATCCTAGCCGGGCCACTCTACAGAGTGTCAATAGCTTTTTGATGGACTGGCGAAAATGATGCAGTTCATATGTAATATACATATATTTAGAATCTATAAATCAATCATGAGACAACGAACGACCTTGGCATGTGAGACCATAAGCTGCATCATGTCTCAGTCTCAACATTGTCTCAAATGACGAATGGTTACCATAACAGGGCAGAAGGTTCGTTAAAGTTTATTAGTTCAAGTGATATAGGTGATTTGCTCCATCTCTTTCGCTATTTGACCGATATGTATTTTGGGTATTCCTCAAAGCAATTTCAACAACAAAGCTCGTTTCCTTAAACCTCACCAGCCTCAATCTTCTGCAGAGCAGCAGGGAACTCGGACCAGTCTCGCATAATGACAACAGCACCAGCATCCCTCAAAGTCTTCTCCATCTCGGGCTGCTTGTCCTCAGCATAAGGGCCAACATAACCAATGACCTTGATACCGGCACGAGTGCCGCTAAGGGTGCCGCTCTTGCTGTCCTCAATAGCGACAGCCTCCTCGGCCTTCTTGCCAAGTTTCTCTAGGGCGTGGAGGTAGATAGCGGGATCAGGCTTGCTGGTGGGCTTCTCGAGACTTGTAGCGGCAGAGAAGACAACATCGCCCTGGAAGTACTTGTCCTGACCGACCTTCTCAATGGAGGCACGGACCCGGCGCAGAGCAGAGGAAGAAACCACAGACATGGTGTACTTGCCAGAAGCGGCAAGCTTCTCGAGCTGCTCATCAACACCAACACAAGGTCGGAGAGATTCCTTGAGCTTGGCAATGACGGCGTCCTCCTCCTTTCGAACATAGGTCTCCATGTCCTCAGGTGAGATCTCGATGTTGTAATTCTTCTGGAGGGTGGTGAGCATGCCGCGGAAGTTCTGACCGACGAACTCCTTGATGAGGGTCTCGCCAGTGAAGCGCATCTCGACTTGACGAGCCTCGCAGATCTCGTTGATGAGGCCAGCGCAAGCCTCGAAGGCAAGCTCCTCTGAGAGGACGAGGGTGTTGTCGCAATCGAACAAAAGGGTGGTGATCTAGAAATTGTCAGTGTAAGCGCGAATAAGATCGAGATTGCATGAGCAACATACCTCGGGCATTTTGGCGGATTGTGATGAAGAAAGTTCTAGAGAAGAAGCAAAGACAAGTTCTCAAGAGGGATTGGACGTATTAAGAAGAGAAGAAGAACAGAAGAACAGAAGAACCTTGTGGAAATCAGGTGGAGCAAGGAATAGATGGAGGTGAAGGAAGAAAAGACAGTGACGGAGCTACTGTGGGGGAACGGAGGTTTTATGGGAGGACGTGCCTTGGTTCAACGGAGCAGGGACATTCGAACTATAACGGGAACTGCCTGTACAGTAACTGCAATATGCTGTAATTGGAACATGCAAGTCCGACTGTGTGATGCCGGGGGTTGCCCGGGTTGTCTTGTAACGAACTCTACAGGTTGTTTGATATGCATCCAATCTGCACCTCATGGGTGAGATTCAACAAGAAACCCCGCGTTCATGAATACCTTAGCTATCTCAAGGTCACTTATAGTCCAGCAGGGAGGGGTTTCCAAATAGTATCTTTCAACTTATATACCAAATTGAACAGCTGAAAAAACTAATTTGTGCTGATAAAATACTGCTCTATATGCTACAGAAAAAATGGCTTGTCTTCAAAGAACTGTCGATCGTCAACACGTGCAAGTCAGACAAAACAAACCCCTCGCAAGTCAACCCAGCATCAACATCAAATCGAATCAAATGCCCCTCCCTCCCCCTCCATTCAGCCAAGGTAAGGTCCGACTAGGAACTGCCCAGTGACGTCATCAAAGCACTATGAATCCCTGTCAGAACATGACACTAAAAAGAGGGTCCCGTTTTCTTCCAGTCAACCGGCCCGCATCAGCGACTTTGCTCTTTGAGCCTCTGACAATCATGGATTGTGCTCAGTAGATATGTATGCACTAGACCAACCTACAGTGATGACCTCGCATAAGCATATGTAAGTAAGTGAGTATAAAGATATGGTAGGTATGTATTTCAGGCTTCGGAGAGTTCGAGCCGATAGTCCGTCTTTCATCATGCATAATCCATGTGAACAGTATCACTCTTCAACGGCGGTGGACCTCTCATAAACGCCCTCGTCATACACGGTTCCTCTCCTCTACCAGTTGCGCGATTTGTAAACATCCCATATTAAGCGATACAAAAAGTATTTACCCTCCCAAATCGCGATTGTACATACCAGATGAGCTGTTTTTACCTCATATGGATAGTTTTCAATGCAGCAAATCACTCTCTTTCGATCTTGAATCTGTCGTACCATTAGAGACAGCTACTATAGTATATATGACATCGTTTCTATCAAGACACCAAATTAGAACAGCCGTCAAATGGATATCAAAAAACACCGTGTGCTAATCAACTTCCTATCATTCTCCTTTCGCTTGTGTACTCTGGGCAACCAAGCCTAGTCTTCCATGCTAAGGCTCGTGCCATCGAACTTGCACACTTTTTCATTATTCATTAGAATCCCAAACGCCAAAACACCATTTGAATATATTGCAAATCTTCCTAGCCGAGTTCCGATGCTGCCGAGGTTGAAAACTTTGCCCAGGCGAACGTCTAGTATGCGGTAAGAGTTGCAGATAGGTTCGATGACAGCGCCTCTTTACAGAATCTCCCTGAGCTTCTGCTTCTGATCGGCCGTCAAACTTGCTGGGAAGTTGATCTTGTACTTGATGACGAAGTCGCCACGTTGGCCAGGCTTTTTAGAGATGGGCATACCCAGGCCAGGATACCGTTCCTCGCTGTTGGGCTGAGTAGGGCCTCCCTTCTCGAGGTTGAGCTGCCGGCCGTCGATCGTTGTCACTGTCCTTCGCCAGCCGGTCAAGGCCTCCTTGAGATCAAGGGTTACCACATGGACAAGATCGTTATCCTCGCGCTTGTAGAGAGGATGTTCCTTCTGTAGGTTTGTTAGTTATCGTTTCGTAGACAGAATTATTACGCGGTTGTGCTTACCTCTTCGACAATAAAGTGAAGATCTTGGCGGCCTCCCTCTACTTGATCGCCGACTCCGTTAAACTTGATCTTGGAACCCTTCTTCAGGCCCGGCTTGATAGGGACTTCAAGGATCTGGTCGGTCTGGACTCTCTTTCCGGTCTCATCGTAAGTCTTGCGCTTAATCTTCATCTTCTTGGTCACACCGTTGAAGAGCTCTTCAAGCGTTAGGGGCAGGGGTCGCTCGACTGTGGTAACTTCAGGAGTAGCTTCTCTAGGTCGAGGCTCGAAGCCTGAGCGCGTGCGTGAACTGCGGCTTCGAGGACCAGCACCGCCAAATCCGCCAAACATGCCAGCGATGTCGTCGTCGTCGCCACCATGCATACCGCCAGCAGATCCGTTACGCATGAACTCGGCAAAGATATCTTCGGGGTTGCTGAAGCCAAAACCGCCAGCACCGCTGCCGGTATTGAAGTGGAAGGTTCGGGTGCCGCCTCCACCGGGCATACCACCTTGGAAGTTGAAGCCCTCGAATCCGCCAGGCATACCTCCAGCGGCGAAGGGATTTCCACCAGCGCCACCTTCTGGCTGTGCGGTACCGCCGCGGAGTAGGAATTCGAGGCCGTACTGATCATATATCTTTCGTTTCTCGGGATCGGAAAGAATTTCGTATGCTTGTGAGCATTCTTTGAACTTTTCAGCCGCATCGGGGCTATCCTTGTTCTTGTCTGGGTGCCATTTCAAGGCTGCTTTCCTGTAGGTGGTGTGGTTAGCAGTGTTGGCCAGATCATGATGCTAGACGGAATGCGCAGCGCTTCTTAATTCAGCGAAGATAATCTCTTTGGTCAGTTCGCCGAATACAAAACATGGTTTACTTGTGCACTTGCAAAAGCAATAACCCGATGAGAAAATGGTATTGTGTGTTGCGCCGCCGCCGCCGCTCCGTATAGATAGGTATTGTATACTTACTTGTATCCCTTCTTGATCTCGTCCTGAGTTGCCTCAGGCTTGACGTTGAGGGTGTCGTAGAGCTTTGTCTCCTTGACCATGATCGCGCGTGTTATAAGTTGTGTTTCTCAAGGTGATTTAGGTGTGCGATATGGTTCAATTTTGACGAGCCAAATGGGTTCGATAAAGAGAGAATAACAAAGAAGAAATGGGTGGCAATGTCAAGGATTGCTTATTGTTGATCGTTTGTTGAAACAGTGAAAAACAAACACCAAAAGTGTGCTTCAGTAAGAGGTCTCGTTGTAGGTTGAATGAGGTGATGTGATGTGAGTGAGGTTAAAGAGAGGGGATGTTTTAGTGCAAGAGTAAGTTTACAAAAGATGGAGTGGGAATCCGCAGGTGAGGATTAAAAGATCAGTCCAGTGACGCTTCAGAGTCAAGGTCGAGAAAGCACTACGCCATGCTACCATGACAATCTCCAGAAGCCACTGCTGGGAAAGACTGGGGCATGGGACCTTGTGGAAGCTTCTAAAGTGTAGGGGGAAGAAGACACCGCAATGTGAAAGGAACTTGATATGGAATAGAGGCTGGCTGACCTCCAGTCTACTACGGTGGGTGGGGGTGACGTCGGGTCGATCGATGGATATCTCTTGAATAGGTAACGAGAAGTACCTGTACATCTGCTGCTGTCGTCTGTTCTTTGTTCGACTGTATTGTCTACGCAGGGAATCACTAGGAACACTCTCTTTGCAGAGTTCTCCAAAATCAATTCCAAGAAACTACCTACACCACATCCTCAAGGGTCATGCTCTCTTGTCCTCGTGTCGGGCTCAATCTGTCGATACCTGACAACTTGACAGGGATAATTGACCTATGACGATACCTAGCCGTGGTGGAGAAGACGCCCCAGACGCCAGAAATCCAGTTCGAGAGCCCCAACTAGGAGCTTAAGATGGTTGCTGGAAGCTCGAGCGGATCTACTATGTATGATAAAGCCCAGCTATGAGATTGCCTGAATGACTTGTATGGTTGTGTACCCATGCTGTGATGTTTTTACCATCTTGGTGCTCTGTGAGACATTGCACAGATCTGTCGTGAATCGAGGTTTGTTACTGTGACTTGCGGATTACGTTTCCCCGTTGTAAGCTGCAGCTATTCCTGACAACCCTGGTCCATGGTCGAAGCTTCTAGAACCTTCTAACCTCTGAACTTAACACACATGGCTGAGATGCTCTAACGGTTCCAGTATGTGTTAATAGCTTCTTTGGCTAATTGCATTTTGTATTTATATGTAAAGATCTGATATTTATGTGTTAGGGTCTCCTGTGTAGCACGCACTATGCCTCTAAGGGGACCTTGGCCATCCAGATTTTTTATTATTGTTCGAGTGCTATACGACTTTGGGGTAACTCGAGGGGAAGAATTAAGCAGCTCAATTGTACAGTCACTTTAAATCTTAGCAGTTCCATACGTCACATCTGGGCAGTAGCTGCTTCAGCACCTATACTTGGAGCTTGACTACTATACAATATCATTAGGTTGCTCAAGGGTGATTGTTCGACGGAGTTGGTTGGATCCATTTGCTTCGTGGGGCTATTGTCAAAGCAGTCATAAATCAAGGAAATATAAATTACCGATCCCGCTGAGGTCATTCCTTTCTATATGGAAGAAAAGAGTAGTTCTAACGTTAAGGTACTCTCTACCTCATGTCTCTTGCTTACCTATTATTATTAAGGTTGATTACCTACCTCGAATTGCCCAAGTTGGAGGATGGCACGTGTAAGTCCACGCCAAGAAATTCTTTATCTTATCTCTTAGTACGTACCCCTCCACTACAATCCAGCGCAACTGTACTTGTACACTGCGGAAGCTCATCGCTTAGATCGTCATTTATTCAATACAACAAACATCCGGCAAACGTGTTTCGTCAAAAACATAGTCATCAATACCAGCATCAGCCTAGAGGAAACAGCCAAGACTATTGTTTGCCTCATTCTATCTTTATCCGACAACACCTATCGAAATAAGCTCTTTGGCACCCCTTCATGGTGGGAGGAGTCTCCGATCGATAGACTGAGCTTGTTGGAACTCACAGAAGACGATTGATTTTTCAGCCCCAGCCATGGAGACTTCACAGGGCAAAATAGATCGTGTGGTCGAATTCACGAGTCTCGACCCTATAGGCGATCGTGAGCTGATTCTTCAAGCTCTGAAGGTTAATACAGGGCAGACCCCTCAAAGTGAGCTTTGTGACTGACATACCTACTTGACAGCAAAGTGACTGGGACCCCGAGAAGGTTGTCGGCCAATTCTACGAAAACGAACAAAGCGTACGAACATGCTCAAGGCCGATTCGCAGCGAACGCTGATCGTATTGCAGTTTCGAGCAAAATATAAACAGCTTTGGGACGATTCTATGTTCACCGCAGATCGAGACGGTAACGACAATACGACTGGTATCAGTCAGTAAACTATTGCGCTTCCCTCCGAACGTCAACTGACCCCATAGCCTTCCATGTCGAGTCTTCCGATCAGAACGTCATTCAAGGCGTAACTCCTCCGTCAGAGTCACACGCGTACGGCGCTCCTTCGAGACCTCCTTCACGATCAAACAATCGATCTCCCCTGGGTACGATGGTGGACTGGACTGCGGCACATGTGCCCGGTAACTCTCTTGATCGCCCCAATGCACATGCGCTAACCAGGGTACACACAGGCGCTCCCGAGAGCCAAGCCCAGGAGGATGATGACATACAACGAGCTATTCGTGAGTCAGCACAAGAAGCTGGACTACCGGTGTCACATCACGAGTCCGGCATTATAGGAACCTCGGAGCCATCGCCTCCTCATTTTGGTCCTGCAAACCGCGAAACATATGTGGCGGCCGATTGGGCCATTGTCCCATCCGATCCTACGAGGGAGAGGACCGTGAATGAATTTACACCGTCGACGCGAAAGAGAGCTCCAGGCGCGCCCGCGATGTTGGTAATCAGCAGTGTGCAAGGTGGTAAACATCGCCTCGGCGGGCTTCTCACAATTCTGCATGAAATTCCTCTTGCACGGAACATACTCCTCGGCATTGGATCGCCTGCTACCACATACGGCTGTAATAATGACTGGTGGCGAGGACAGATGATTCTATCACCGGAGGTTTTGGCAAGAATGGCTGAAGAAGGCAGCTCAGACCCCAATCTGCACAAGAGCGGCAGTGAATTTGAGGACGAAGTACACCGATTGATGGCGTTTCTTGACTCTACCGAACGTGGTTATGGCTCCATATCTGTTCTGGCAGATATTTTGGCGGATTCTGACACACAGGGCGCGGAGAAACAATTCTATGAGGCGCTCGGCAAAAGACACACTGATGTTACCCAGCCAATGATGCAAGTTGCTGGAGTGTCGCTATTCTACGGAGATGTTGAAGAAGAAGTCGCAGTCTTTGGCCTTCTCGAGATAGAGCACTTCCAACATGAGTACAACTGCATCAAAACTCTGTACGAGGCACTTGATCACGTCATGTGGAGTGATACCGTGGGTTTGGATAAAATACACGATGGAGCGAAGATGGCATTTTTCAAAAAGATGGGCGATATTTTGGTGTTGGATACCACTGGCGATGGGCCAAGCGATTCTTTCGAAATTCCCTTGGAATTCTACCCAGAAAAATACCTCATTAGCAGGAAAGAGGAGGCACGTCGAATCCAGCAAGGGTGGTGCCAAACAAAGGAACAGATGAAACGTCTTCAGGACAAGAAAGCCCAGCTTCTTAGCTTGGCGAACACTTGGGGTGGTGCAACCGATGATAAGGAGACAGTTTTGAAAAAAGCGATCGATCAGTGGGACGGATACAGGAGTTATCTGGAAAACTTCCTCCGATTCAAGACTTTGGAGAAGTCGGGGTTCGATACTGATAAGTACCCCGACTACCGTACTGCTCCTCCAGATGTAGACGACAGCGTGTATCTGGAATCTCAGAAGGTCACAGATGTGATGGACTATTCGGAGAGTTTACTTGTGGACCTTGAGACAAAAATGAAAGGTAAGTCTTGGCCTTGAAAGGCTTATACGCCCGTGGCTAAAATGGCCTTAGGCCTCGATGCAGAACTCGAACAGATCGCAGCCAAACAGCGAGCGTTGGGGAAACTCCTTACAGTACCGGATAAACCAAGTCGTCCGAAACCCATGACCTGCAAAAGGTATCTCCTCCGCGGACTAGTTGCATCGCCCACCGTCTTATATGTCTGCCAACGGGAGGAAGCAGATCTGATAGACCTTGATGACGAGGAGACCAAACCAAGAGATCAATGGTGGAGGCTGGCTTATACCCCTTATTCCGGAGATGAGCCCGTTAGAGCCGAGGTAAGTGAACATGATATTGATTGAAGCAGAGGAGATCAGTCTTGCCAACACAATTGCAGAAAACATCTATCGACGCAGTATTGGTCGATATCTGGAACGATACCAAGAAACCAATGCTGATATACGCAACGGAAGACGCCCTTAGGACGCCCAAAGACCATCTATCATCCCAACTGGAACGATTTATCAAAATGGAAAATAAAGCTTTCCGTCAAGAGTTATCTAAGGAAGAATCCACGGCCAGCGAGTCCAAGCAGACGGTTAATTTTGAGTCTAGCTCGTCTCTCTCGCCGCATTCGTCATTTTCGCCTTCTAAGAGAAAGCATCGGTCTGATAGCAGTGCTTCGATGGACAGCAATCGTGCCTCGATCGGTAGTGATGATGATAGAAACAGATTCGACAACCCTTTCCTCCCTGATGACGACGAAAGAGTCGGCACTGAAATGTCGGATTACGTCCATAGCTTCACTGCTATGGAAGGCCACATCCCAGATTCACTAACAGGCCGCACTCAGGGTTCAACAGCTCCGACAGAGCCCACATCAGCTACCATGACACCGAGCACAGTAACGGCCGACTACTCAGACACCAACACTGCTTTTGCTGCGGAGGAGCCTCGAAGTCCGGAGATGCAAGAGAAGGCTAGGCCGCCTCCTTTTATGTCATTGTCGAGGAACCCATCAATGCGAGCGGAATCACCCAATTTGATGGACATGGACATCCCAGATGAGAAACATTAGGTGGCTCGGAGAGATGAGAGTTCACGAATGCCGACGTTTGCTTGGTAAGGGGTAACATTCTTCTTTTATTCATTTATTTATTTATTTTGGTTCTCAGGCGAAGACGGCGCGCCATTCGACAAAGGGTTGGCTGGCTTACATAGCATGGTCATTAGAATAGCATTAGAGCGCATGGAGTTTTGGGTTTTGCTCATGCAGCCTAGTCAGGACCAGGTAGAGCATGCCGTCGAGCGAGTTCTTTATCAATACCAGCACTAGAAATATCTTGTACTACTGCCGGCGTTCTCTTCAAGTGAGTGGGACAAGATAGGGAATACGATCAACAGATGTTCCTCACTATGGCACCAAGTGAATCTTTGTAAGTTGTATATTCTGTCTATAGAAAGCACGCCTGATAAACACACCCTTACTCCATGTAAACAACACGCATATAACAGAGACCACCAGTCTTCCTGCGTTCCCTCAATGTCCGTATCGCTCGATGCTTGCAATGCTCGTCCCGTACCGAGTATGCGCATCTGGAACGCCTTAAAAATGGAATAAAATAACCTCGCTATGTCCATAGTACTGTAGATGAAAGAGGGGGTCGCGAAATGGTGTAGAAGGTAAGAGGCTTGGAAAGTAGCCAACCTATCGCTCGTCCTGGCCACGCTGAGAAATATATGGCCTTCGGGGGAAGTCTACTTCTGATCTCTGACATCATCGTCATCCTCGTCATCATCATCAAAGTCTTCCATGTCCTCGTCGCTATCACTGCCGCCAAAGTCTTCCTCCTCGTCTGTCATATTCCAGAAGTCGGCATCATCATCAATGGGCTTTTGTGGCGCAGGTGCGAGCTCGGAGGGAGTGGGCATCCTCGACCCTGACGGGATATCCTTCTGAGACTTATCAACGATGTCCTTTGCTCGCTTGTTATACTCGGTCTTGTTGTCGCGATAGAGGACGCTAGCATCGACATTTGCGGGTGAGTTGATTTCGGGATCGTCGAGGAGGAGTAAAACGGATCGCAGGACCGATTCGACACCGTGGAGGACATTCCAACGCTCGCTGGCCAGCTCGCCTGACTGCTCGTCTTCGCCCGGCTTGTGGAGGATGGAAATGCAGAGATTACCGTCGGTGTAGACGTTGGGGTGACAGATGTTCTTGGTGAGAAATTTGAAGCTGGGCGGCTGGTAAGGATAATCGTTTGGAAACTTCATCTCGGCCCTGAGGTAGGCTCCGTGCCAGACACTGTCGGGGTTAACGACCCAGAGACCGATCTTCCAGATCAGAAGGTTTGAGTCGTCGGGCTTGAAGTAAAGACGATCATGTTAGACGATGTTTTCCATGGTATACCAAGCGACATACCTCGATGTTGACCCATTTCTCCTTCTGAAGGGGTTGCAGCTCCTGCATAAGTCTCTTTTGCGCCATGATGACTGACTATCGATAACCAAGGTAATTAGGTGCGCGTGCGCTACTTCGCCCGTCCAACGACAAGAGTCCTCCAAGCGAGCGTGTGTTTGAAAAGACCGAAAGTTGCCGAGTAGGTGAGGTACTTGGTTGTTGTGAGTTGAAAGTGTAGAAGAGTTGGGCCGGGCTTAATAAGTCAGGCCAGCGCCAGCGCCAGCGGCAAAGGGGAGTTTATTGACTGCCTGTGCTGCGCTGCGCTGTGCTGGACGGAAAGGGCGGTCGAGGAGGGGCGGCTTCGGCGATTGGACGTGCAAAAGTTGAGCAAGGTGGTGTTTGGATTTAGAAGAAGCCGGCAGGCGCTTCGCTTCCCTTGGTGTTGCTTTGCTTTGCTTTGCTTTGTTGGCAAGTTTTGTTTGGATATCGCCCTCTTTTTGGGGTTGACAACGGGGGAGGGAGGAGTTTGTTTGTTTGTTGTTTACCTATTGAAGGGGTTGTTGGCTTACTGGTATCGCTTAACAATGAGGCAACCTTGATAGCAAACGTGTTTGAGGTTTGGGACTTCCAGTAATGACGAATGCGGAAAAGAAGGAAGTCAAAAGAAGAATAAGTATTTAAAAAAGGGGGGGATGACCCTTTTGTAGTCTTTTCCTTCTATTCTTATTCAAAACTCAATGGACATTGAGGTAAAAGAGTAGAAAGAGGCTTAGTAAATCAATTACCTTCTCTACCTTGGGTAGGTATTCAATCAAGACCTTACTTAATAAGAGTGCGTAGAGAGTCATTCACTTCGGTCTTGCCGCCTTCATCCGGGGACCGGAGCATGGAATCCACTCTATCTAAGTCGGCCGGTGACCACTTGCACCTGCCACCTGGTTCTGATTCTGGCTCCAGTCTCCTGGCTCCTACCTTGGTTTGCCCCTCGTCTCGTGTCTAGGTACATCCTGCTCTTTCCCTTTCCCTTTTGGCGGGAAAAACTGACGTCGGTCCCTTGACCCCACACCTTCCTTATGTACCTCCCTGAGGCCCGCCCCACCTCATGATCACGCTTAGGTACGTATCCGTTCCCGTCCGCTCCAGCCCTGCCCGTCTTCATTCCCGTCCTTTACAGCCATTTGATTGACGGTACTAAAAAGTGCATCTCAGATAGGAATTGGAGAAACAGGTGATCAACATCCCATGGCTGTGGAATCGGAACGTGCCTCCTTTTCGTTTCTTTGCCTTGAATATGATTGTACCTGATCGACGAACTCTCCAGCCGGCTTTAGGGTACTACTGTATGCGTATTTGGGCCGATTCGGTACATATTGGCATCTAGACTTTGTTCCTTATCGCAGTGTATCATCAACGTTTCAAGTGAGATTCATATTAAAACAATATGCAGGATTCAGGAGGGCTAATTGTGTTTCTTGTTGTGTCTCTCTTGAACTACCTCAAAATATGACAATGATGAGTACGTCCCGTAGGTCTCTTGTCTAAACTGTGCAAATATCATCATAAGTTTCTCAAATCTAGACCGAGTTTAGTACATACAGTCTGGCTTTAGTATAAATTTTATAGACTCATCATAATCTTTAGAATTTTTGAAGAATTCCTCAAATTTCCTTGAGTCTAGTGCATATAGCCTAACTTTAGCCTAACTTTAGTATAAATTTTATAAATTTTATGAACTCATCATAATCTTTGAGAAGCTTTGTAAATATTATTAAAATTTAGGATGTCAAAACCCTAAGTTTAGGCCCCAAGATCGTAATATACGCAGTTACCTGACCGAAAATTGTACAGGAATGCGTGTCGCGACCCCTCGCTCTTCTTTTGATACTTAAATCGCAGGTTATCCAGCTCATCATGGATCTCACGGATGTATTTCCTTTCCGTAGTCGTCACCGACTGCTCGACTTGTCGCCAGCCATCAACCTCTGAGAGGCAGGTCCCGCGGATTAGATCCATGACCTGATCTGTTGTCTCGATGGCCAAGATAGGGCCATCAAGGAAAGACTGTACCAAGCTGCTCGCAGTGCTTTGAGCTTGCTCCACAACCGTTCTACGGTTGAACTTTTTGCTCCGTGTTTGTGCCACCAACACACGAACCTCTTGCTCTTCCTTTTCGCTCGAGCCATTATCTGTAGAGCTGTTGCCGCGAAGTTTCACCACTGTTTTTGAATCGCGTTCTCGAATCTCGTTACGAAGCCAAGAAAGCAATTGTGTTGTCGGTATATCTGCATCGGGCACGTCCTTTCGTCCCAAGGTTTTGATCTTCAACATTGCATCCTGCTTGATGATGATGAGCCAAGAATATTCTTCTTCTCGGTGCTTCGATAACAGGTCTTCGGGGGATCTGGCATCCTTGGCCAGCTCAGCGCTGATGCTGTGTGCCCAGAGCGTTTGAAGTATTTCGGTACCTAAAGATCTCGACACAGCGGCGCTGAAGCTAGCTACCAAACAATCACACTATCATATCAGTAAGCAAGTGTTGCGCGTATGGTTATGTGAATGACTTACTCGTCGAGAGTTGAAAATTCCGCTTGATTCGTCCTCGGGTTTCTTCAAGAACGATCGCCCACCGGCTTTGGGAATTTTTGCCAATCGCTCCCATGCCAAACTGAATCCAACTGCATGTTTCTCTCGAACTTGGCCACCAGCCCTAGGTCGGAATTCTCTGATAAGTTGATCATACCTACCGCCAGCAGCAAAAACATCCTTGACCTTTTTATCATAGATGCATGAAAAGATGACGCCACCTGTGTAGAATGCTTCTTTCAGGCTGTTCAAAGGATTGATATAGATCCTTGTTCCTACGCCTAGACGCTTGCAATACTCAATCACTTCCTTCAGATGCGCGATTGTGGGAGAAGCTCGTTGGTACATATTGCTGCCTTCAAAAAGGGTCTTCAACTTGGAGAATGTCTTGTTCGGAGTGTCTATTCGCTGTTAGCTCTGAAGCTTCATTGGGGGGGGGAGTGGGGGTGAAAATAAACGACCCCTAATGCACCAAAATCCGCTGGCCTTCCACCGCTCGAGGGGTCGTTTTTTATTTCCCCCTAGCTCACTTACCTCTGAAGTCGAATTTCTGCAATTCGTCCACGCTTATAGCCGAAACACCTACAGTTGGTGACCGCAGCTCGACCCTAATCTTCTGCCAGTTAAAGTTGTGGATGTTCAGCTTACTCAACACGTCTGCCGCTGCACGTCGACTTGCAGGGCTTATCCCACAATACTCAAAGATGAGCTGCAAAAGATCTGAGTGTCCCAAATGGAAACACATAGGAGTTGTGGACAAGGAAGGAAATGTGTGGACGATCTCATCCATCACTTTGAGAACCTCTGCTTCGTTCAAAGCAAAGTCCAGGGCGTCAGTGGTGACAATGTCGAAATCAGCCTCTCCAAACATCAGTGGGTGGCCTCCATCGTTCTTGTCCCGAAAAACGTTGCCAAAGGCAAAAGATCGCTCAACTACGGGATCGAAATACGCCATCGTCCTTGCATTTCCCAGTGTGAGATCGTAGGGCAGCTGCACCACTTTGCCTCTCGGGGTCAAAAGTTGGACAGCATTGTCCCCATAATGTGATGTCCGTGGGTATATGCTGCTTCGGGGGGGCTCCAGGGCGCCATGACTACGGAAGATCGAAATAAGCTTTTGCTTAACCAGGATTTGATTGAGAAGCTCCTGTGGACTCAATGACCTCGCTGACATATCCCAAGTGTAATCCTCAATAGGGTCCATACGCTTCGAAAATAGCCACGAAAGCGTCTTGTGGTAATATGGCGAGCTTGGGTTTGCCAGTATAGCAAGAGTCTGTCTACCTCTGACGCTCTCTATCTGAATAGGTAGCTCTTCATTGTTGAGAAGGTCAGTACTTGAGGGCCTTTCCTTTGGGTTGTGGTTAACCAGAGACAATATGATTTCTGTTTGAGGAGCTTTGTCCGTGGGCTTAAAGTCCGATGGTAACACTGGCTTCGGCCTCCTAAGCTGACCAAGGACATCGGCCTTCTGCATACCTATCATAGGTACATAACACATCTCGAAGAAAATGATGCCTAGCGAATACATCTGATTTCGTTAGCTCAAGACGGCAACGTCTGAATTTAATCCACCCGTCCACTTACATCGACCTTCGTGCTATATATGCCGTTGACCGTGGACCTCACTTCAGGTGCGGAGTAATATGCAGTGCCGATGCTTCTCGTCATATCGTCTGTCTCCAGAGTATTTCCGTTTGCTTTTTCCAGTGAGAATTGTCCGCTGGTGGCGAGTCCAAAGTCGCCGATCTTCACATTGTCAATGCCATCAGAGTCGCTAGTAATGAAAATGTTTTCCGGCTTCAAATCACGGTGGACGATGCTAAGCCCATGGATATGAGCCAATCCTTCCAGGATCTGAGAAAACAGGCGCCAAATTTCAGGAGAATTCTTGTAGAGGTTCCTTGCGATCAGATCTCGAAGGGTCTGGCAATCGTGAGCAACTACGTGTATGAGATGTTACCAGGCTGTGTTACTTACTCGTTTCTCGCAATACTCCATCGATATGTACAGCATGGTTCTATATGAACGCTGATATCGAGCTCGTCGCTGGAACATCGCGTTTCTTTCTTTATCTGGCGAAGAGACTCTGTGAATAGACATCTCATCTTCTGTATCATCATCATCATCCTCCTCTGACTCGTCTTCATCGGAGTCTTCATCAGAGTCTTCAGAGTCCTCAAATCTATAGTCGACGTTGGCATTGGATGATATGAAATCGAGCCCCCCTGTACTGGCAGCAAATTCGATTTCAATACCAGCAGACCCAGTTCCTTGAGTGTTCTCTTCGGTAAAGTATCCTGTTGATGTATCGTCTTCAGTTTCGGCTTGATCAGGAGCTTCTTCAACCCATGCGGTATTGTATCGGACAACCGCAGGATGGTTAAGCTGAGAGAGAAGCCTTACTTCCTTTAGAATCTCGGTAAGGTTAGCTTGGGAGCGTGGTTTTATTTTCTTGATGGCGTAAATCTGGCCGTCCAGTTTCATCCTAGCCTTTACCACCTCTCCGAACCCGCCCTTTCCTAGCCTGGCTTCCTCAATGAAGTCTTCTGCGTACCGCGATGACGCGGGACCTCGGTGAGTAGTAAAGTCATGTCGAGGCGTTACCGGAAGGGTTTGTGCAGATACTGCAGAGCTTGTTGACGGAACTGCAGGAGAATCTTGGAAAAGAACCGGAGCATCAGTGGCTAAAAACTCGCTGGATCCGAGCTCAAAAGCTCGAGGCCGTTTTTGTTTATCTTCCTTGAAGAACCTGTTGACTAACTCATGCAGCGAATGGGACAAAGTGAGCGATTCCATAAGATTCTTGGGTGATGAGTATGTTCGTAGCACGTCAAGGCCAAAGATCATCTGAATGAACACAACGCCGAAATCCCAAATATCAGTCTTGAATGTATACGAGGGCTTAGATGCACCAGCAATCTCAGGGGGCAGCCAGTAGGCAGACTTGGCGGTGTTCAATCCTGGAAGACCGGGTTTGTTGGAAGTGATAGAGTGAATTTCTCTCTGGTACCAGGCATCTGAGATCTTGGGGACGATTTGCCCGTTCGGCTCTCGGAACAGCAGAATGTTCCCGGGGTGAATATCTTGATGTGCAATATTCTTGTTGTGAAGGAAATTGAGGGCATCAAGCAGATCCCGCGTCCAGGAACGCACTCTGCCAATATCCGCAACCTGTATCGCAAGCTCCAAAAACTCCTCTAGAGAATTCTTTTCGGCTAATGGAGACAAGACGTTTACAGTACACATACTCGAGACAGCAGGATCAGTAGAAGGCCCAGACTGGACCTTAAATCCTAAAATCTCCACAAGATGACGATGATGAACTCGCTTGACAGACTTGAGATCCTGAAGACGAGAGTCGAGACTTTGTAGCTGAAGCTTAAACTCTTTCGTGTCCTTATTTGTGTTACGGATAACAGTCTGCTTCAGTGCCAGAGGCAGGGTGCCTTGCCCATTGACCAGCACAGGTCGGACTTCGTAAACGGTGGATACAGGTCCCTGCCTAAGGTGGCGTTTGCCTGTGATAGCCTTGAAGACGAGGGTATTCCCTGACTGATCCGTAGCGTTACATAATTGCTCGAACTCGATGATCTCTTCGGTCTCTGAGCTTGTTGAAGATTGCTGGGGCGTATTGCCGCCGTTACGACGCTTTGATTCCTTGGCTGTCCGTTTCTGTCGTTCAACTTGCTGTTGGAGCATCTCGGCCATGATACGATCTTCTTCTTGCGTCGCTTCTTCTTTCTTTCGATCTTCTTCTCGTTTCTTCTCTTCTGCTAACTTCGCCAAGGAAGCTTCGTGCCGCTCTCGTTCTTCTTCGAGAGAAGGTAGATGCTTCCCGTTTGCCTTCGCTTGCGCAGCATCCTCGAGTATATCACGTACTCCTTCGACGATTTGATCGATCATTTCTTGCGCATCCTGCGCGAATAGCTTTGGCTTCGTTTCTAGGTACTTCTGGATCTTGAATGTTGTAACGTCCTTGAGGTCGTAGTTCTTCAACGTGATAAGAGGAGGCGACTTTGGGTAAGTTGCAGTCATGACAAAACCTAGCGTACAAGCAAAGTCTTCATCCGATGATGCTTTTATCCGGATATCAAAATGCGGTTCTGACTTCTATTATAGGTCGTGAGCTTCAAAGTTGGCCAAGGTGACGGGTTTCGATAAGGTAATAAGGGTTCTTCAAAGGTTACCTTCCAGGCGTTCTGAGTTCCGGTATGCATGACGAAGTCGTCGCTGTAGATAGCCTCAAGGGCCAGTAGTTCGTTCTGTTGTAGCTCTCCATATTCGATTTTGTTGTTGACCTCCGGGCTCGCAGCTAGCAAGCCCGGGAAACTTGACTCATTTTTGTTGTTATTCTTAAGACCCGAGGGCGTGTTCCATACCCCAGATTGCTTCCCCGCCATGTCTGCACAAAGAGGAGGAAGTCACAGCAAAAGCTGCGACTTCTACAGGGAAGAGGCCATGATGGCAATACTGAAATGATAAACGATTTTGTATGAAGGGTTTTAAAAGGACATCCAAGGTATGGATGAAAGATAAGTAGAGGAGGAAGACGAAATCCCCTTCTGACGTTGGCACGGCGGGGTAGTTAGTAGCTACTAGGGAGGTAGGAGCCACTCTTTTCCTCGCACCCCTACCAAGAAATCATCTCGACCTGAGGATGCTCAATCCAGGTATCCTAAGGTTCTGATTATCTTATCTAAATATCATCATAAGCTTAGACTTGCTACTCTAAGCTTTAGGTCTAATATTAGACAGAATTTAGGTAAACTATTCTACTTATACTATATCCCTTGAATCCCCTCGTCCTAGGGATCTCTTAATATCCATGGTTCCATCTTAAGTTCTTGATGCTGCCAACTCAATTGGCGACGCCCATTTACAAAGGCGGTGTCGTTTCATCGAATTACAGGCGGCCACAGGGCTGATGAGGGGTCCGCTGCGGCTCTTGCGGTGGCGGCCACCTCAGCTTAATTGCTTAGGTTGAGTGCTCCATTGGAGCTACCGCCTGGGCCACCAGGGGTCCCTACACTAGGTAAGGGAGGAAAGAAAACGGAGGGTCTTGATCGTAAATGATAAAAAGACTTAGGTAAATTGGCACAAGTTTAGGATATCTTTGCCATGTTTAGGATCACTTTTGCAGACTTTATTTTGACATCTTGTATTAGATTCTGATATTTTCTTGTTCCCCGAGCGCTATAGTCCAGGTCGTGCATCAGACTCCACTGATTAGATGTCACTTCAATATTAGATCACCAGAAAGAAAATAGGGAACACGGGGCACTTCATAAAAGGAAAACTTACTCCTTAGGTAGATTCAAGTCTGAGCATCATCTCAGCAATGCTTCCCATGTTCATAGATCCCAAGTCATGATAGCTTGTAATCTAGCTGCAGAGAGACTGATATCTTGCATTAGCTGGATTGGCCCCTCTATTTTGGCACTAGCGTGGCTCTTATTGGGTAGAAGGCCCTGGTGGGACAGAGGCGCCAGAGGCTTTGGCGTCTTTGATCTGCGACGGGTGAAAGTAAACATTGAAAACGAAAGTCAACATTGACATTAACCAATTTCATCCAATCCTATCCTGCCACAATTAGACGGTCAACAACATAACACGGCCGACGAGGAGGATAAATGTTACTACTCAAACGTTTGTGATCGCTTATGCGAAGGACTTCCCTCTTTAATCGGGCGCCTGACACTCGCATTCGCATTTCCGCTTACGCGCAACGTGCCGCAAGATGTTGGGTTGGATGTTGAGACGCGGCGAGAACGCGCCAGAACCGGTCAATGATGGAGGTATGTATGCACGCAGACACGATAGCAGATAAAATTCATTGACTTCATTTACTAGATACCACCCAAATTGACCAGCCCGACACCCCCGCGCCTGTTTTCGCTGCTAGAGCATTCAAGAGTGCATTGTTTGGAACTCCAGCACGACCTACCAACCAAAGTACAAGAGCTGTAGCAAAAGACAGAAATGACAAGACAGCTCAAATGTCTCGGACCCCTCCTCGACCACAAGGGATCCTTTTGACCCCAGGTACCGGGACTACGAGACGAAAGCGCGTATCTTTTGGACAAGACGTCAAGAAGAATAACAATCTCAGCAAGGAGCCAGAAGCGCGCCAACGAACCCGGCTAAACGACGCTTTGGAAAAGGCCTCCAAATCGGTAAATCAGAAGAACACAACACAGCAAGACCAGGATGACTCTTCAGATGAGTGGGAAGAAGCTGATGACGAGGACTACTGCACACACGACATTACGGTTGATCTTAACGAGCCTCATTCGCAGTCGGGCAGATATTGGAAGGAGGAGTTTGAGAAATACCACGAAGACGCCAAGGCCGAAATGGAGAAGCTCCTCAAGTACAAGCAACTGGCGAAATCATATGCCAAACAAAAGGATGCCGAGGCAATTGAGCTCGCAGTTAAGCTCAAGGAAGAACAGCAAAAAGTGATTGAGATGGAAAGGCAGATTGCCGAAGGTGCTTCCAAGATAGCCTCGAAGCGAGTCGACAGATCAGACGAAGTCAGCTCCGAGCTTTTATCGACACTCACGAAGCAGACAGCCCTGGCTGTGCAGTATCGAACACGCGTCCAAGAGCTTGAGGACCAACTTGAGGAGTTCCTTCGAGAGCGGGAAGACGATGCCGATGCCGATCCCAAAGACCGCAAGCGACGACAAGCGACATCACCCAGGACGCAGAAAACGCTTATCGAGACACAGCGCGAACTGAGGCGAGCCCGAATGCAGGTCAAGGAAGTTGGCGAACTTCGTCAGCAGATATCTTCTCTGAAGAGTCAGCTCAGAGCGGCGGAGAAGCGTGCTACCAAGGCCGAGGCAATGAACGAGACGAAGACTACACAAGAAAAAACCGAAGTTGAATCGGTGCGCGAAAGTTCACGAGCACAGGAATTGCGCGCCCAGCTTCGTGAAGCAAGAGAAGACAACAAGAAGAAAGATGAGGAGCTACGACAACTAAAACAAGAATTCGAAGCCTATCGTAATGAAACTCAAGCCCACAATGCGGACACAAATGGAGTTTTGGAACGGGCACACACTAAGATTGCGGAACTCAAGAAGGAAATCAGGATCCTCAAGGCTGGGGACAATGATGCTCCTGAGCAGCAAGACAACGCAACTCGGCCTAAGAGCTGGCATGTTCAGACAGACTCGGGGCATCTGGCAGACGAGACCTCAAAGCCCAGAAACATCGATGTGGGTGACAACCCTAAGAATCCAAGGCATATGGAACGACGAAGTTTTGACTTGACCGAGTTTGGCAATGAGACCATGGAGCTCAAGGCCACAGACCCAAACGTGCCCTCATTACGCCAAAAGTTTCACGAAGATGCTGTGCCAAAGGTTACTAGATCGGATATCGGCACGTCAAAACCAGTATCGTCAAGTCTTGGTGATAAGCCAGACATTGGCCGGCCTAGATGGCAGCCATTTGTTCCGCGATCACCAAGAAATAGGGCATATCTTGGCGAAGAAATCACCAAGCGGATTGAGAACGGAGGTGCGACTCCCGGCCGAACTGGCCTGGAAGACATCGCCGCGCCTGACCTGCCCGCGCTGGCCAAGTCAATCGCTCGCTCGAAGCGCATTACATCTGCCGAGAAACCTGAAGAAAGAATCGACTTACTCCACGACCAGTATGCACGTGTAGGGGCCCCAGGTTCCAACAAAAGCGCATTGACGGCCAACGCGCCAAAGAGCGTGCTGCCGCCTGAGCGTAGAGCTGCTGCGATTGCAAGAATTGAACAAAGAATGGCGGAGAAGAAACGAGCGCGTGGAAGAAAGGCATATGATAAGGAGAATGTCCGACCTTGAGAATGATAATGTACATACGATGAATACCTTGGGTGTGATATGAGTAGGTGAGGTGGAATACCCTGACTATTGACAATTGTTTGTCTTCCAGTCAAAAAGACTGAATTGGATTGGCATTCGCGTGGAGTTTAGGGGGTTTTCCTCGAAGGAATTCTTATTGTTGGATTTACATGAGGATGGTTGTCATGGTTTGATAAGTAGTTTTTTTTTTTTTTAAACCTCGATGGTCTTATCTCTGAACGAGCTATTTTGACGCTCAGCTTAACCTCTAAAAATACCTAAACTCATGATGCCTTCACAAGTCCTGACCCCAGATGCGGCTGATGTTATTCAAGATGAGATTTTTCAGCTAGAAAAACGTCTTCAGGATGCTAAAGCGCGTCTCAACAAAGTCCTGCCTTCGCCACCCCTGTCTATGGCTACAGAGCGTAAGACTCATCCCAATCTATAGATAAGGACCATAACTCACGACTCATAGCTCATTTAGCCTCGACAACTCATTTTCTACTTCTTCTCTCAGACTCGGCACTTCCATTAGGCTCATTTGCCTTTAGCAGTGGTCTCGAGTCTTATCTTGCTCACGAACCGCGTGCCTCAGCATCATTTGCCTCCTTTCTTCCTTCATCCCTTTCATCGTTCGCCGCGACAACGCTACCCTTTGTCCTAGCCGCGCACCGCGACCCGGAGTCTCTTCCTCAGTTAGATGATCAGCTCGATGCCGCTATCATTTGTACTGTTGGTCGACGTGCGAGCGTTGCGCAGGGTCGTGCGCTGCTAGGAATATGGGAGCGGTCATTCCGTGCCAGCTGCCCAGATGTTGATGGGCAGCCATTGAGGGAATTTGCAGCGATGTTAAGGTGCGAAAGTCAGAAGGAAGTGCCTCTGGTGTCTGCGCATCTGGCGCCGCTGTTTGGTGCGATATGCGCGCTTGTGGGACTAGGTTTGCGACAGACAGCATATGTCTTTATGCTCAGTCATGTTAAGGCGTTGATATCTGCTGCGGTGAGAGCCAGTGTCTTTGGTCCCTATCAGGCGCAAAAGGTATTGGCTGGGCAGCAAGTGCAGAAGATGATCGACGACATGATCGATCGAGAGTGGAATACTCCCGTTGAGGAGGCTGGGCAAACCGTGCCTCTAATGGATTTATGGATTGGACGGCATGAAACATTGTACTCTAGAATTTTCAACAGCTGATGTCGTATGCTGCTTGTGGTATCATTATTATAATACAAAATATCTATGCATTTCTAAATATCAATTAAACGCCTTGTCCCTATTCATCATCGCTATCGCTGTCACTGCCGTATGCCACCAAAGGTCCTGTTGTGGCTGCTGCTTTCGGTTTCGATGCCACCGAGACCTTGGCCTTGTTGAGAGCTGCGAGGGTGCTGCCTGAGAAGATGCCACCAGTCTCTTGTTGAGTTTGAGGCTGTTGCTCCTCAACTTGAGCCGGTGGTTCACCTGACTCTCCGTTTTCGATCATTGGCCGTTCCTGATATTCCACTTCGAAACCCTCTCGACCCAGGGGGTTTACTGCCTGAGTACCCCGAGCAAAGTGAATTTCATCGGGCGCTTCGTATCCCTCAAGACCATAGCTGCTTTCGATCTTCCGTCGCTTTCTAGCTTCGGGATCTCGGCCTTCGATTTCAGCGACGAATTCTGCAGGAAGAGCTCTTCGAATAGCCTCAGCGGCTTGCTCCTCGATGTTGCGCGCTTCTCGAGCTTGCGCCATAGGGTTGGGATCGGCTGTTGCCCAGCGAACGTTGAGCACTTCCTCGTGGTCGAGAGACTGATGTGCCATGGCCTCTTTGGCAAATTCGGCATTGGCTTGGTTGACATATGTGATGAATGCGACACCTCGGGTGTTGAGAACACGAACTATAACTGTTAGCAACAAGTCAATTGGGATATTGGAATTGAAACTTACTGCGCTCTATAGGGCCCCATTCTGCAAAGTGTCGCGCCACAATCTCTTCGATATCGTCTGTGACATGAATCCTTCCGACATACACTGTTCTGTTCTGCCTCATAAAACTTCCGACACCACCCATGTCGTCTCGGTAGTCGGAAAACTTGTCGCGTCCAAAGCAGTCGACATTGGGGTTAAAGTGATCGTAGGGTCCAGGTAGCCTATGAAGATATTCGCAGTCTTGACCTTTGGGACAAACGCCACGCGCAAAGCGCAAACAGAAGTAGCTTCCAGGCATCCCATCGGCCTTGGTATATCCGCTGTCCTTCGCGACATTGCAGCGACCCTTCGCTTTGGTCTTCGATAGGTACTTGTCTTCTCGATCACCACCAGACCACTTGTTATACCAGATGTTGAAAATTGTACCGGTCTGAGGAGGAGGTTCTGATGTGACGAAATCGGGATCGATTTGGGCGCGCGCAGGTCGCTTCTTCTTGCGAATGATCTTCTTGACGACTTTCTTTCCAGTTGGCGCTGCAACCTCTGTATTTGTAGTCGCTATCGCCATTTCCTGCCCTTGCTCGACGACCGGCGCCGTTTCGATTTGCTCTGCTGTATCGGCCATTGTATCGAATGTGGAAGATGAATCCTGAGAAGGTGTTGTGATGGCAACGCGACAAGCCTGTGCTGATGATGCAAGGCTGTAAAAAGATCCATTTTTGGGGAGAAATAAAGTGTCAGAAAGGGAAGGCGGTGAGACAGACCTCCCGCACTTGTGGAGCTTGTTCGTTCGAATTCTGCCACGACTTCATCAGGCCTCTCTCAACCCCCACTCATGATTTAGATCTTGATCTGGCGCCTAGAACTCGGTTTATACTTTCTGTTGATTTTATTTTCCTCTTTGAACTGTTTCTAGAGACGCAAAAGCGTCTCAAAGTACCGCAAATATGGTGAACATTACGGAGAAGATCAAGGAGTAAGTTCAGTCTTGAAAACAGTAGCGGGGCATCACTGACATAGTAACAGGATTGAGGAGGAGATGAAGAAGACACAAAGTTAGTAAATCTATGGTCTTAGAAAACCTCATACTCTGTCCCTTTGTTGCACAATTGGTGCTGTTTGCCCGAAGACGAGATCGAAGCAGTTGGTCTTGAATTTAAAGTTGCGACAGGTTGGAGGAATATCAAATCATCCCAAGGACTTCACAAGACTTCATGAATAACGACTAATATCTTTTTAGAGAACAAGGCGACTGGTATGTTGTCGTAAAAATAATTTCTGAATGTTGCAATATTAACGGCACCCAGAATATCATTTGGGTCTATTAAAAGGGTTGGTTTGGCATGCCATGACTACAGGACTGTGGCCTTAGAAGAGATTTATACTAATTATTCTAGAAAACTTGCTCGACTAAGGGCCCAGCTTCTAGAGCCTGGTCCTGGAGCTGGCGGCGGCGGTGGTTCAGGTTTCGACGTCAGCAAAAGTGGTGATGCGCGAATTGCTCTTGTTGGTTTCCCATCAGTAGGAAAATCGACGTTCTTATCGAAAGTCACCAAGACGCGGTCAGAAGTTGCTTCTTATGCTTTCACAACCTTGACAGCCATTCCCGGTGTGCTCGAGTATGGCGGTGCTGAAATTCAGCTGCTCGATCTTCCCGGTATTATCGAGGGTGCTTCTGAAGGCAAGGGTCGAGGAAGACAAGTAATCTCAGCTGCCAAGACGAGTGACCTTATTCTAATGGTTCTCGACGCTACCAAGAAAGCGGAACAAAGAGCATTGCTCGAGGCTGAATTGGAAGCTGTCGGTATCCGCCTGAACCGAGAACCACCGTAAGTTCAACTGAGACAAGTTTGAATCGCTATTAATATGAGACCTTAGCAACATTTACCTCAAGGTCAAGACAGCGGGTGGCATGAAAATCACATTCCAGTCACCTCCCAAGAACCTGGACGAGAAAATGCTTTACAACATCCTGCGCGACTACAAGATTCTGAATTGTGAGGTTCTTGTTCGTGATGAGAACGCTACAGTCGATGACTTCATTGATGTTATCATGAAGGACCATCGAAAGTACATCAAGTGTCTGTACGTCTACAACAAGATTGACAGTGTCTCGCTTGACTTCTTGGACAAGCTAGCACGCGAGGATCATACCGTTGTCATGAGTTGTGAGCTGGACCTGGGTATCCAGGATGTTGTGGACAGATGTTGGAAAGAGCTCAAGCTGATCCGTATTTACACCAAACGCAAGGGTGCTGAACCAGACTTTGGTGAGGCGTTGATTGTGCGCAGTAACAGCACAATCGAGGATGTCTGTGACCGCATTCACAGGACTCTGAAGGACACATTCAAGTATGCGCTGGTATGGGGTGCTAGCGCAAGACATGTTCCTCAAAGAGTTGGTCTAGCACACCCTGTGGCGGATGAAGATGTGGTGTATATCGTCAGTGCTTGGAAGGCTTAGATACCTGTGCAAGCTTCATAAAGCCAAAACAAAAAAATCACTATCACACTCAGTTTCATCTTTTCAAGTTCAGAGCTCAAAGACATGTTTCATTGTTAAAATTGTACATAAAAAGGCCACCAGAAAAGAAAGGCGAGCCAAACCCTGTCATCGCATCATATCAAGCCAAAGTTTCCATAACCTGTATCACCAATACAATGTGTGTATGTGTATGTCAAGTGAACCCCTAACGCCGTATTCCTGACCTCCAGCGGTTCAATAAACACCATTAGCTAGTAATCCATAGCCAACAAAAGCAGAAGCCGTGTCCATAAAGTGTGGACATGTATTATCTGGAAAGAAGAGACGTATTGTTGACTCTCTTACAGCTGGAAACCGGCCTTGGCTGGTGCTGGCTTTGCCCCCAAGGGATTGTCGCCCTGGAGTTTCTTAGCGCTCGCTTGGGCGAACAAGGACTTAGGCTTAGCCCTGAAGAAGATGTTAGTTCATTGTTGTTGTTAGAAAAGAGGAAGAGTGACGAACTTGCTGGCGTGCTTGTTTCGTAGAGCATTGATCTTTGCGGAGCAAGGGCTCATGATGTTGTCTGAAGGCGAGACGTACTTGTTGGCACTGCTTAAAGGTTAGACTTTGGCACTGGTTTGAAGTTGTTCACTATCACTCACGTCTCTTCCTCAGCCATCTTGGACTGGAGAACCTGGCGATGATACTCCATGCTCTTGACGTCTTTGGTAACTGGCTGCTCAATCATGGGAGCGTTGACGTCCTTATCGGCGAGAACCTTGGCTGACATGATGAAAGTGTTGTGAGAAGATAGTGTAGAGGCTTTCGTGTGAGAGCGTATTACTCGAGTGTAGAGAGAGTAGAAGTTGATCTGCGATAACGTTCTTTGTTTGTGTATGGAGGAAAACGGTTGAGATGGGTGTTGGGTTTCTTTAATGAAAAGATAGAATGCCCTTGTACGAAATAGGTACAGTCCTTGCACAAGTAGTAGAAAATTAGCAGGCAAAGTAAACGGTGCCCTTTGTTGACGGGGCAACGGGCAATTAAGGAAAAATGCAAGGATTTTGGGCAGCAGCGACCCGATGACGTTGATTATTTCCGTGTTTTAGCGGGCGATAGAGGCCTGGAATGGTCGGTTACAGGGGACTCCACTGTGAGAAATGGCACGCTGAGGCCTGTGTTTTACGCTTGCTTGTCGTGAACAACGCACCATCACTGGGGTAATGGAATGGCATGACTTGCATGTATGAGAAAAAGCTCTCAGGGATTAGATGTTGACTCATTAAGAAAAGAGACGTTGCATGATAGTTCTAGGACAGCCAATGAAACTCGATAACACCGGGACCTTTGAAACTTCTCTTCAACTATAATGGAAGTGCAATATGGCATCCATATCACACTTGAGACTACAAGCATAATCAAATGTCACTGTTGACGGAGGATTCTCGGGAAATGTGTGAATTATGCCATTGATATTAGTGTCATGGATGAAAAATGCCAACAATTGGCCCCAGGAGCTCTATATTCCCTGCTTCAGATACCAGCGACAAAGTAGACAGACTGGATATCCATGTCTAATGTTCATCTTCTACGAACAGCAGAGGAACAACTGTACCATATTCAACAAATAGCGTCTTATATATCTATCATGTTTAATAATATAATAATATAATAATTTAGATATTCAACTAACTTAGTCATGCGGCCGCCCTTTGGCCATTATCAAACAAATAACCAACGATATTCTACCACGCCACTCTTCGCTGTGACAACAAAACACTACAGCTTAGCATTGTGCTTTATTCTGGCACCAGGCTGAAGCCTCTCAACACCGTATTGCTTCAACAACTCTTCGGTCTTGGCCCTCTGTCGCTTAATGGTCGCTGTCGCCTCAGCACTGCGTTTGTTCTCATTTTTACCCAGCTGCTGCAGATGCACCTCATCAGGTCCGTCGGCAAGACGCAGTGTTCGGATACCTGCCCACATGTATGCCAGGGGTGTATCCTGGGAGACGCCAGCACCTCCGTAGGCCTGAACCGCACGGTCGATGACGTTGAGAGCGGTCTGGGGAATGAGGACCTTGGCTTCTGCGATCTCCTTGAGGGCCTTCTTGGGACCTAGGTCGTCCATCTTAATGGCGGCATTGAGAACGATCAGGCGTGCGGCGTCAATTTCGATACGGGACTTGGCAATCCATTCAAGGATGACACCGTGTTCGCGGAGAAGTTTACCAAATGGTTTCTTAGACTCATCGTTGACACGGAGGAGCATCCAGTCAAGAGCACGCTCAGCCTAAATAGTGTTAGATGCTGGTTCACACTGAGGAATATCATAGTAAACTTACAGCGCCAATGCTGCGCATAGCATGGTGAATACGGCCAGGTCCAAGACGACCCTGGATAATCTCAAATCCTCGGCCCTCGCCAAGGACAAGGTTAGAGACAGGGACTCTGACGTTCTTGAAGGTGATGTGTCCATGGCCATGAGGAGCATCGTCGAATCCGTAGACCTTCAGCATGCGGTCGATGGTAATACCGGGTGTTCCGGCGGGCACCAGAACGACCGACTGTTGGCGATAAGTGTCCTTGTTGTTGGCATCTGTCTTGCCCATAACGATGTAAATCTTGCATCGTGGGTCACCAGCACCGCTGGACCACCACTTCTGGCCATTAAGAACGTACTCGTTACCCTCGCGACGGATATCCATCTCAATGTTTGTCGCGTCAGACGAAGCAATTTGAGGCTCTGTCATGAGAAAAGCGGAACGGATCTTGCCATCCATGAGAGGCTTCAACCACTGCTCCTTTTGAGCATCGTTACCATACTTGGCCAACACTTCCATGTTGCCTGTGTCGGGAGCTGAGCAGTTGCATGCTTCGGAAGCAACGTGTGAGCGGCCGAGCCACTCAGCCATGAGACCGTACTCGAGGTTGGTATAGCCAGGAGACTCCTTGTAGTGGCCCTTTGGGAGGAACATGTTCCAGAGACCGAGCTTTCGGGCCTTGACCTTAAGATCCTCAATGATGGAAGGGTGGCCCTCCCAACGAGCTTCACCCTCGCCAGCTTGAGCCTCTACAACAGGGTCGGCGCTAATAAGAATTAGAGATACAGCTGCGCTGTGTGAAAGGGGAAACTAACGGGATACATTCCTCCTCGACGAACTTGGCGACGAGGTCAAGCTGCTTCTTGGCAGCATCGCTGACGCGATTGACAGCCTGTATCATCAGTGTTAGTGTCACTATGCTCTTAGATGAAGTTCAGGATGGAGTTTCTCACAATGAGAGGGATTCTCGCCGACATCGTAATTGTCTATAGTCGACTTTAGGGGGACTGTGATATGGGTGGATGTAAGAAGGGAGTGTAGTATCACAAGCAAGATGGATGATATATCACAACACAACAACAGTGTTAAGACAAGACAGCGAGAGATGATATAAGAAAGGAGAGCGGAATCAAGTCAAGATATGAAGAAATAAAGTACCAGTTGCAACGAATAATTCTACCCCAGGTTCGTCTCAAGCTCCAACTTCTCCGCACATCGTCCAATATCCAGCAACGGAGCCGAGGTACGCGGCTGCTGACTGTACATCTTGGCCACTCACAGCTCGAGCTTCTCCAAGTGGATATCCTTGAAATCCGGGGTACAACTGCTATCATTGGAAGCCTCCACAGCCTCGGACAGAGGTGGGTCTAAGCCGAGGAGCTCTGCTAGCTGACTCGAGCTTCCCCGGTTAGAGGCGACTTGATTGATGTACCATGATTGATAATGGCTCGATTCTTGATCTAATAATGGCCTGATTAGATGCATCGTCAAGTAAAGCCTAGGCATTGCCTCGAGACTCTAGCAGCTGACGCATCAAGACTCAAACACACCTCATCTCATATCCCCATCATCATATCACACTCAAGAAGATGATGAAGCAATTCAAAAGACAGAACAAGTCGCATCCATGTATAAACACCAAGGAGAAATAAGAAAAAAAGACTAAACCCAGCTGCCTCTTTATGATACATCCAGGCAACGTCAATAATCCACCACCGAGGATAGCTACCATCCTCGTCACTCAACACAATCACAAACATCCCCACACCCCAATCAGCATCTGCCCATGTCATCCTTTAACAAGCGCAGCCATCACGGTCATTCTCGATGTGGATGTTGATCGGGTCATCAAAGTCGCCGCTGAATTCTTCAGACTCTTCTTGGGCGAGAGCGTTGCGAGCGATCACTGCGAATCATTAGCTTTGTCAAAGTGTCAGAGCATAGAGTCTAACCTTCAAAAGCCTGGTCGATGTTGATGGCTTCCTTGGCACTTGTCTCAAAGTAGGGAATATCGCCCTTGGACTGGCAGAATGTCATGGCGCGCTTGTTGGAAATCTTTGATAATGTTAGATCGTGATCACCAATGCTTTCTGCTTACTCACCACTCGCTTGCTCTCCTCGACATCAATCTTGTTTCCGAGTACGACCTAATTTCTGCATCAGCACGCTTCCTTCTTTCAAGCTTAAGGTTACTAACGAATGGGAAGTTGGGAGGGTCCCGAGGAGAAGCCTGGATGAGGAATTCATCTCTCCAGCTGTCCAGAGCCTCGAAACTCTTGGCATTGTTTACATCGTAGACCAAAACGCAGCAATCAGCACCTCGGTAGAACGCTACGCCGAGGGATTGGAAACGTTCTTGACCAGCCGTATCCCAGAGCTATCCCAGAAGAGTCAGTCCAATGTCCCTCAAGGTGCGCTCTTGTGTCCCTGTCCTACCTGCATGGTAACTTGTCGATCGTCAACGAGGACCTCTCGAGTTAGAAAGTCGGCTCCGATAGTGGCCTTGTAGCTCGCGCTAAACTTCTTGTTGACCTGTAATCACAAGATCGCCATCAGTCTTGTTACAATTTTCATCGATATTGGTTGAAGGTGCGTACATATTGGTTCATCAAGCTGGTCTTGCCAACACCGCTATCGCCCAGGATGATAACCTATTTTCACATCCGTATCAATACTTGGGGTTCTGGACAAGTTCTGGCGTGATTTCCATCATCTCGCACCTTGAGAAGGACCTTCTTTCGTGAAGACATGGTGAAATATTGTTTCTGGACGAGAAGCGTTGCTCAATGACGTTATCTCGTGCGTTCCAGACGCAATGATCGAAGCGCCGTCGAGTCTATAGCCTCGATTTCTCTATTCTTCGGCTCGTGGGCTGTCTTCGTTGTGTAGCAGGACGTCTGCTGCTGTGATCGATCTGGAACTGAAATTCGACCGTCAAGATTCGGGTTCGTAAAAGGTTGGTGTTTTGGAGATGGCAGCGGCAGATGACGGTGGGCGGAGGTACCAATGTCGCAGCCTTGCCCGTCGCTCGAGGTGATTCTGAAGACTAGTCCGGGTTCAGCTTAGTGGCATGCATAAGTCAGGAAAGTGGGGGTTTCAAGCCGCTGGCGGTCTTGGGTTTGTGCAACTCCACGTGACATCATATGCACCTCTATCATGCAACTTTAAGCTTCCGAAGACTACCTTAGCTTTCACAGGAACGTTCTAGTAGGGATCAACCTTCATTATCAGGTACGCAAAGCCTCATGGACGTGCCAAAGAGGCTGAGACGGCTGAATTATGGCGGATGATGGCCTTCTCGACAAGGTCCACGCTCTGAGTGATCTCGAGCTGGCCTTACTCCTTTGTCTAATTAGTCGCGAACACTGTCTTGTCAGCACACCATCCGATGCCATCGACGACTTGATTCAGGAGCTACAGCTTGTAGCTACAAAGACATTCGGCCTCACTTGGGTCGTGATCGATTGCACTCCCTCCACGACGCTCGAAGACTTCGCCTCTGCTCTTCTTCTAGGCAATGCGGCTTCTCCATCTAGTCACTCTCCGACAGCATCGCGCCACCCCGACTCATACTTTACGTCGAGGCCATCAACGTCGCATCCGCGCACGCCCCTCAGTCCTCTAACCCCGAGCGGTGCGTTTACGTCTCGAATTGCCAACGTGGTTTTCGCAAAGAATCTCGATCGAGCACCACAAGCTGTACAGATCCAGGCGCTGGAACTTCTCCGTACCCGCCGTATCTTTACACGAACTTCTGTTCAGACAGCTCCGAAACAATTCGTTTTTATTCCAGTCCTAGAGGCAGCTAGTGGAGGCGAAGCTCGTGTGACGGCGCACCTGAATGATTTCTTATATATAGCCTATTGGCATAATCCTGATGATGGATTCGTGAATTTGGAGGAGGCAGATGGTGGCAATGATGCCGATACTGCCTCTACGGGTAGTGTCGTGAAAAGGGGTCCTGGAGAGGAAACCAGCTCAGCGCCACCCCTGATTGTCGAAAGCGTAGGTTGCTCTGATTCACTTTCTGTCCAGCCGTTAACTGTATTATAGGATATCAGTTATCTTGGTACACTCAGTAAAGAGGCACAAGTAGATGTCGAAATCATCCGCTACCAGATGAACATCATCTCATTCCTTCGAATGCACCGAGCTGTTGCTGGTGGTATCAGTCCCACAGCCACAAAGCACTTTGGTCAACTCATGCGTTGTTTGGCTGCTTTGCATCGTCTAGACTTTGTAACACCAGCTCTAGTTGGCCTCGCTGCCCGCAAGGTGTACTTACACCGAGTCCAGCTGACTCCTCCTGAAAAGGAGAGGAGCATGCAATGGGGGAGTAGACTTGAAGCAGTAGAAGCCCTGTTGGAAGATATTGGTCCCGAGGATGTGATTGAAGATGTCTTGGGCATGGTGACCGCGCCGGTCTAAGGTCGCTACCTTGTATTAATTAATTCTATAATATTCTACACGTCATGACAAGTCGAGGACTCCAGTTCCCCCATGAAGCCACCCATGACTTACAATCTTGTTCATCTTTTGTTCATGATGCCGATGGTCCGTAGTGTGATTTTGCCATATCCCAATGTCATTGCCGTTCCAAAAGAATCGGTCTAGTAGTAAAAGCAAAAGCCAACATACATCTCCTTTCAACGCCTAATATCCTATGGTATAACTTAAGCAATCTGGTTGACCTTGCAAGACCAGCCGGAACCACCAGCAAGAAGAGGCAAACTGGAATATCGTTAGTAAGAGACAAGAAATCGTAGAAATCGTAGAAACTTACCTGGCGCCAAGGCACCAGCCGAGCTCGTTGCCCTTGATTTTCTTGGCAATCTTAACCTCGCGGTCAATGGGCATTTCGTAACCACTATGGAGGAGGGCCATCATGAAGTTGAGGTCCAGGCACCACTCAGGTCGGCCATCCAACTCGGCCATAGCATCAGGGATGGTGGTGAAAACATCCCAGCCAGACTTGCCCATGCAGACAGTCTGGGTAAGATCGTGCATCTCACGAAGAGTGAACGAGTCGGGCATACCAAGGGGCTTGGTGCGGTCGAAGAAGTAGGAGAAGATGTAGACATCCTCCTTGGTGAAGGTCTTGGAAAGCAGGGGCTGATGAATGCCGTTGAAAGAGCAGGGAGCGAGCTTGCAGTCCTCATCCTTGTTGAGAATCTTCTCAGCGAGGTTTCGGCACTGAGCGGGAGCAGGCTGCGAGGGACCAACAAAGGTAACCTCAACAGGCTCCTCACTGCCTTCAAGAGTAACTTCAACAGTCTTGTTCATGCCCGGGGCAATGCAGGGGTTGACAATGGGTTGCTTGACCCAGGCCTTGTCGGTATTCTTAGACTCGATATCCTTGATGAGAGCACCATGGATGGCCTTGCGGGCAGCCATCAGACCATAGCCCAAGTGAGAGTGCTGGTAGAGCTCGAAGTGACGACCGCCGAAGTCGAGATCGTACTTGTGGTCACCCTCAGCAAGCTTCTCGGGCATTCCACCGTGAGCAGCGCCCTTGAAAGTGGGCTCGAAAACGATCTGAGTAGAACCACCACCAAGATCAAAGACAGCGGCAGTCTCGCTCTTATCGGGACCACCAATCTTGCCTAGAAGGTAGTTGGTAGTGATCCAAGCATAAACACCCTCGAGAGAACCGTCCATGATAACAACGCCTTCGTTCTCCTTGTCAACGACAGGGAAGGGGTAATCCTGCTCGAGGTGTCGTCGGACTTCGGCAAGAATAGCATCGGAAGCTTCTTTGCCAATCATTCGAAGACCAGCGGTGGCCTTTACTGCGACGGGAGTGCAGCCCTTGAGGGCGTTGGGAACGGTATCCATAGCGACCTTCATGAGGGGATCGAGACTCTTGGCAGCGGCCACAGGGTCGCCGTTATACTTGCTGAGGCCACCGACATCCTTCTCGGTCATCTTGAACTCTTCGTGCTCAAGCTCGGGGGTATCACGACAGTTGTTGAACTTGTATACGTGGATTCGCGAACCAGTGCTGCCGGCATCGATCATGAGAACATACTGGACAATGGGCTTGTCCTTGGAGTAAGACTTTGTGCATCGATCGGTACCATAGGAAGAGTCTGAGGGGGACTGGCCATTGTTGCCCTGCGCAGGGTGAGTGACTGCATCTTGTTAGCACAATGCGATTCGGGCTCTTGATCGACTGCTGCTACTACCTCCACTAGGCGTACCTTCGTGATACACTTCAACACCCTTGGGGGAGATGAAGTAGAAGAGGGTAACAATCGCAAAAACGATGGCGACAGTCTTAATCCACCTCGTCCGCTGGGACTGTGTCATCCAAGACTCCTTCATCCTGCCAATAATGCCTTGCCTCTTGGGCTTAAACTTGTATCGGTCTGGCTTCTCGTGAGGGTCGAAGACGGGGAACTTTGATGAGGGCGGCGATGTGGGTGTTCTCATGAGCGCGGGTCTCGCGAGAAGGGGAGATAAGATTGTGGTGTCGGGGGCTGTCTATTTAAAGAAGGGACTGGACTCGCTCGACCATCGGATAATTCTAGGGAGGGAGGGAATGGTTGGTTCACTTCGAAACGAGGGTTGGGTTGGGAGGAGCGTGGCGAAAAAAAAGGAATAAATTAAAAGGGATGGGATGGACGAGATGAGGTTTTGGTTGTTGGCTGTTGACAAGCTGGCTCTCTCTCACTTTCAGTTGCAGACCGATAAGTTAACACGGATACAGGGAGAAAGGGGGGGCAAAGATAGTTTTCGTGAGAGACGGAAATGGTTTGGTTTGCGTGGTACAGCCAATCTGCATGCTTAAAAATCGAGGTTCCACACGCACCTCCACGGCCATAGCGATAGTGCCCGTCCAGCTGGCGCATCTGTCAGGGGCTTGGAACCTTGGAGGATCAACTTTTAGGGGAGCCATGCGAAAAGCCCCTGAAATCTCAGGGAAGAGAACGAAGGGTTGGAACGCTAATTTTAGATGCCCCACCAATGATCAATATGCGACTTTCGATGTCATCAAGTTTGAACATTATTGAGAGATGCATGAGAAGATAGTTATAACTTCTCTAGTATTCAATACTCAAAATGTCCTGGCTCGATCTGTTATTTTCTGGCTATGCCATACTCTAGAATATAGACACAACTGCGCCTCTTTTCCAGGTAGAACTCTCTCTCCGTCAGCGCCTTTAGAATGTTCCAGTTTCAAGTGAGGTCAACGCAATGTTGCCTGCCTATAGCGCTTCCTTCAAACTTGCACTTTAATCCCTAGAATCCTCAAACTCGAACTGCTTGACCCAAAAATCACAACCTTCACACCCGATGCTCTGCCTGACCCTTCATAAAGCCATTAATATCTAAATAAATCTTTACGATCCTTAATCAGCCAAGAAAACCAACCACATTTCTCTCACACCCAAGAGACAAAAGATGGACGTCCAACTCTTTGTCTATGACCTCTCACGAGGGCTGGCACGCCAAATGTCCTTGGGTCTTCTAGGCTTTCAGCTTGATGCCATCTATCACACTTCTATAGAACTCAATGGCAAAGAATACGTCTATGACGGAGGCATTATCGCAATCAGACCAGGCTCATCACACCTTGGACAGCCATTGGAGAAGATCCATCTCGGCACAACGAATCTGCCTATGGATGTAATAGAAGAGTTTCTCGACTCTCTACGGCCGATCTTTACACTAGAGGTAATGCCCTTGCTCCATGTTTTGCTTGCTTTGTCTAACAATTCACAGGCCTATGACCTCTTTCATCACAACTGTAATAATTTCAGCGATTCATTCGCAAACTTTTTATTAGGAAAGGGTATTCCGGAGCATATTGTCAAAATGCCACAGGCTGTTCTCGACTCGCCGATGGGCCGTATGCTTCTTCCTCAGCTTACTCAAGGGATCAATGCCGGAAGACAGAATGGCTCTATCCTCGGACTTCAGCAGAGCGCTCAGACGCCAAGTGCTCCAAAACATGGCGTCAAGATTGTTTCCAATTCTGCTGAGTTTGATCGTTTGATGGACGGGGCAAAGAATTCATGTGCAGTCGTCTTCTTTACCTCAGCGACATGCCCACCTTGCAAGGTCCTCTATCCAATTTACGACGAACTTGCCGAAGAAGTTGGGGAGAAAGCCACTCTGATCAAGGTCGATATTGCACAGCCCCAAGCCCACGAGATTGGGAGCCGATATTCCATCAGAGCGACACCAACCATCGTGACATTCCTGCGTGGCGAGGAGGAAAATAGGTGGTCAGGGGCTGATCCAGCTGCTCTTCGAGGAAATGTCCAGCTCCTCGTGCAAATGGCACATCCCGTTCATCCTCATGAGAGGCTCCGGCTACCGACCTTTGCCAATCCCAATGCGAAGCCTGTTCTCTACGCAAAGGTCCCTCCACTGGACAAACTCCTGGTCAAGATGGGTGACGAAGTTGCTAGGAAGCCAGAGGTACAAGCTCTCAAGAAATACCTTGAGGATCGGGCGAAGGATGGTCCTTCAAGTGCAGTCGTTCCTGAGATGAATCACCTGTCGAGCCTTGTCAGGAATTCGGTCACGACACTTCCCATTGATATTCTTTTCACTATCGTTGACTTATTCAGATGCGCTCTTTCGGATCCTAGAGTCAGTGGATACTTTGCCGAAGAGAAGAACCATGAGACAGTCCGGACTGTGCTGGACTTTGTCAATCAACAATCAGGATGCCCCTATGCCCTTCGCCTGGTCACGCTCCAGATGGCTTGCAACTTCTTCTCGACACCCCTATTTTCTGACGAAATCATGCGAGACAACTCGCTACGTGCTGCGGTCATTCTTCTCGTCTCTTCGAGCTTCCTTGACGAGAGCCATAACAACGTGCGAGTTGCTGGTTCTTCCCTCCTCTTCAACTTGTCAGTAGCAAATCGCCGGGCAAGACAGGATTCAAAACCTACTCTTTCAGGAGATGACGAGATCGAGCTTGCTGCGTCAGTAGTCGAGGCTATAGCCCTGGAAGAAAAGTCAGCAGAGGCGTTACATGGAATGCTTCTCGCTTTGGGGCACTTGGTTTATGGCACACCACTTGATGGCGATCTCCCGGATCTGCTTCAGACAGTGGGTGCTGGAGAAAACATCCTTGGTAAAAAGTCCAGATTCCCAGATGAAAAGCTGGTATCCGAAGTCGGGAAAGAGTTGTTGGGTAAGGGGCTAAGGAAACCATAGATCACTAGGAATGATATTCTTCCGTTCTTAGTCCATGCTTGTACATTGATACCACCCACACTTAGCTAGAGCTGTACTGGAATATGGAGGGCGGTATCTCACTCAATCACTTTTGTGAGCTTTTATGGTACGATATCGTGTGATCACATGAGGCTGGTTTGTATTCACTACCGAGGAAGCTAGATATAACCCGAGACAGTATCCCAGCCACTTCCTGTGAGTCAGTCTATAGTACCGTGTGCAAACTCCCTCTGGTTGTTGCCGCCACCAACTCGCACTCAGAGATGCCAGCCAATACAGGCCGGTTGTTTGGACTATGCCGGCTTAAATCGTGCTCCCGATAGAGATGGGCTATGTCGACTCTTCCCGCAACTAAAGCTCGGTTATGTCGTATCTCGAACACGTCGAACTTTTCGTCAGTGATAGCTGCTCTGTGTTTGAGAAGCAAAGCAACGAGGTTGAAATGCCCATTGGCTTCTGCAGCATCCACGGCATCTTCCAACTGGCCCCTGTGTGGAAAGCTATGCGATAGGCGACAGCCAATCCCTTCAACAAGAAGATATTCAGCAACGTCAAGATGGCCTTCCCGGCATGCAACTTTCAAGGCTGTGCCGCCAATATTTGCTGTATCACAGTGAATGTCTGTGCCGGCTCTTACCAACATCCTGATCCTCTCCAAAAGCCCTTTTACCGCTGCAAGGACGAGGGTCTTTCCTTTACTAACCTCTGTGAGGAGGTCTAAAGCGACCATCTGCTGAACAACTTTGCATGGCACGTTCCTCGGCACTGCACAACTGACCAAAGATTCCCGATCATCCCAGCTTAGACCTCCTAGATTTCTCACTCTTAGGTAAAGTATAAACTGAAAAATGTCATAACTGAAGTCATTTCGGCAAATTGAAGCCTCAACGGGAGAGAGCTGAGTTTCTATCCCCTTGTGCAGTTTAGCTCCATGCTGTAACAGCAGCTTAATCATGGCGACGTCACTCCAGTAACAAGCAGCTGCGAGCGGAGTCCATAATTGCGCGTCACACTTGTCTTCTTGTTGATAGCGAATATGTGGTGTGCCTAACGCGCTCCATTTGCGGTGTAATAATCGAGTACAGCTGTTGGGATTCCCTCGAGCTTCCAAGAGAAGCTTTGCTATCTCATGCGAGCCTCGAAATATTGCAGCAATTAGTGGGCTGTCTCTGTTCTCCTGGTCTACCAAAGCGCCTCTGCGTAAGAGAAAAGCACACATTTCAGGATCTTGTCCGTAGGCGGCGTGATAAAGGGGAGAGCAAACACCTCGGCTGTCGTTGATATCTGTTCCAGCATGGAGAACTGTCTGCACAGTTCCTACACTGCCACTTATGACAGCTGCCTGCATAGTCGTTGTGTTATTTCCTCTCTGGTAATCGTCGACTCGGGCACCCATTTGCAAAAGTAGCTCGACGAGTTCTTGGCTTCCTAACATCGCTGCAGCCTGTAGGCAAGTGAGTCCTCTTGCTGCAGGTTGAGCATGAATGTCACCTCCGCGCCGAACCAGCAATCTGAGCAGCCTACTGTTGCCGTTGATTGACGCTGTTTGTAGAGCTGGTAAGACCGGGTAAGAGCATGGTGTCTTGTTCACGTCAACCCAATCTTCTGTGAGTGCATCGACGAGGACGCAGTCATTGATCTCTATTGCAGCCTGTAGTGCCGTTCGATCCAGGTGCCAGTCGCGCGCAAATGAATGTAAATTCACTGCTGGTAGTGAGAGTGCTTCGAAGATCTCGCATATCTTGCCACAATCCACCGTTCCAGGAGATTGCGGAAGCACATCTTTGAAAGACCTGGCAACTCTCCACCATCTTAACGTGTATAAGTAGACGATATTCCATTGGGAAATTGGACATAGTCTAGGATTTTCCCCTCTACGATGATTGGCCATGGGGCCATCAGCTGTAGCCCCGGCATCCACGAGACAACGAGCCATATCGAAGTTTTCATGTCCCCTTGCGAACATGAGTGGTGAGATTAGTGCAAGTGAGATACCATCAAGCATGTGACCGCTCTCTGCAACACAGCTATTGGATAGTAATAGGTCTCTGGCATCGTCGCAAACGAAGTTCGGGTCTGCCCCAGCTCCCAACAGCAGGGTGACCATATCTAGGTCATTTCTGAGAGCTGCTTGCTGAATAGGGGTAAACCACATTCTGCCTGCGAAGTTCACTGGAGCACCAGCCTCTAGCAGTAGCTTTGCAGATGCCGTAGTTCGAGCATAAAGAAGAATAGAATGTGAGATCGACATGCGATGGATATCCGCGCCGTATTCTAAAAGACTTCTCACGATCATGTCACTATTGTTTAATTTCAATGCCTGCCTCATGGGTAGTTCGTCATTAGAGGATGACATGGTAGGGTTGGCCCCATTCTTCAACAATAGATCAACCATGGGGCCATCGATATTGTTAATAGCCACTGCGAGCGCCCTGTCCAAATACCGTGAAGAGAGGCTAGGGCCACGAGCAGTGTGCAAAAGCAATTTCAGTAGGTCCAGATCGCCGACCTCGACAGCGCTGGGGAGTAGGTATCTGGAAGCGGCTTGGACGGTTAGTCCACCAAGGGCAATGGCGTCCTTGATGAGCCGGAGATAGTTATTGTCCATGGCCCATTTCAACAAAATGTGCATGCATTCTACGCTGACTAACTTGTTTGAGCCAGCGTAAAATATCCATTGCAGCAGCAAAGAGTCGCAATCCTCTAGTACAGGGTGTCGCTGGTTTTCATGAAATCGAGGCAAGGCTGTCGCCAGGTGTGATAGTAAGATGGGCAGTTTGGTGAACTTTTGCTCGTCCGAGGACATGAATTTCATGATCTTATCAAGGGATTCTTGATTGTTTTGGCTTTTGGATCTTGCTGAAGCTATAGCAGCGCTCGTAAAAACTGCTGTGTATTAGTTTGGACGCAGTTCATGCTGTGAGGTAGTATCACTTACCCGTCTCTTCAGCAAGGGTCCAGAACTTGAACCAAGGCGTCGAGTACGGCATGATGCCAAAGTCTTCCTTGGGAGTGCGAATCTCGATTGTGGTGAGGTCTTCGCAGGGAAGAATTCCTAAACAACATAGGTATCAGCTTTGGGATCAACTTCGTGTAGAAGAGAACTCACTCTGGCACTCGGGCCCAAAGTCCCAGGGCCCAACATACCTCCCTAATGCCTTGCTGAGTTTCTTTTCCGAAATTGGTTTGCCATTCAGAACAATTTCAGTCTTTTTCCCGTCCTTCTTTTTTCGCCTTTGTATCTGTGAGCTCGTATATACCCATTCCTCCTTAGTCGTGTACTTTTTGAACTTCCATTTGGCAAGCCGACGAATGATTTGATGGCGCCTTGAATATGTTAGCCTTGATGTAAAGTTGCATGAGGTGTTCTAGGGAACCTACGATACTGTAAATCCATACTTGTCCTGTAGAACCTCGGAAACTTTCTCGGGGCTGTTGTCTTCGTCAATATACAAGGTCCGAATAATGCTCTTGTGTCGCTCCCAGATCGCTTCTGAGATTTTGGGTGCTCGAGACATTGTGATAGCATACGACAACTAGATAAAGCGGAAGATAATTCTAGATAGAGAGAAACATAATGGAAAGTCAACTCAGACCCAGCTAGGTATGTAGAGTGGTTGTGGCATTCATATATCTGATGTGCCATAACCTCCACACAGGCACCAACCTTACCTTTTCAAGTTGTCTATTGCGACTGTGCTCGACTCACAGCAGTATGGAAGCTAATCATGCGGCAGTGCGCATTGCATATTCAGGCGGCGAGGCGGTCATTCAATGACTTGTGCCACCCAACAACATATACCTGGGCTGTCATGGGTGGTCTCTGGAGCGCAGGACCTGATTGGATATGGCCAAATTTTGCAAAATTGCTGCACATTTGCCTAACTTAAAATAAGACATTATAGCCGGCCGTTGGGCTCGCTGTTCGTTTGCTGAGGCCAAATTTTTCAAAATGTATCGCCTTTAGTCGACCCCAACGGTATATGTAAGCGCTGCAGGTGGGCGAGCGAGTTTGCTATGCTACGCCCTGCCCTCGTTTTCTTTAACTTAAACATTCCCCCATGTCCTTGCTCCCAATAAGATTTGCCATTGCTTGAGAAAGTCGATGCTAATCCACTCTATCAGCTTAGAGTTGGATCCCTGCAGAACAGCAAAGTTTGAGGTGTAAATTCCACTATATGTATGGACGAGACCAAATTTTGCATCTCAGTTGTCTGGATCGGCAAGATGGGTTATAGATGACCAATTGAGTCGAAAACAATATTCGTGCTCGTGCAGTTTGGAGCTATGACATGAATTCTTTTGTCCTGCCTCAGTACATGGTTCTCCTTCCGGGATCTGAGCTGATCCGTCCTATACGGGGCGATAGATGTTGTTGTTCATGTCTTTGAGAAGTGCTTCCCCAGCATAGCCTTGTCTGCCGCAAGGACTCACTACGTCTCACTTTCACTTTAAAAAGCCAGCATTCCACTCACCATGGTAAAGCCTATCTCTTGAGCTCTACTTCAGCTCACTCTTTTCTTCTCGAAATCCTGGACCAAGTTCAAGCATCTACAACCCTTCCCCGATGGCCTTGTCCGCGGAAGCCATCATCTCCATTGTTGGTGCTCTCATCAACCTCCCAACATGTGTCTTGGTGTTTTACCATATGTGGACGAGACAGAACAAATCAGGGCACTACATGAACACTGCAGGTATTTCTGTATCTCATAATATTGTAAACTTCTAACGGGAGAATGTTATTGTCTTAGATGTCGAGCGGAGCCATAAACTATTCGAACGTACACCACCTTACCCTGATGATCGGCCTCGACTTCCAAACCACCATTACCCTAGTGCGTGGGTTCCATACTCGATTCCATCTCGCCATCGAACGCTTGGCTGGTCACAGCAAGATTTCCAATTGTACTCTTAGTCCCTCTGAGAAGGTTGACCATGTCGAAATGTGGGTGTTAGTCAAAGTGGAATTGTATAGTGGTGCTTGATCATATATAATAGAAATGGAACATTAATATTTTGGTCTTTCGCAAATCAGTCATAGAACATCTGAGCTGTAAAGCTTTGAGAGTGGTGACTTTGGTTTATCTGACGTATGTTACCTATATGAATGAATGTCCTGAGTACTATCAAGATTGCAGTCAAGCCAAATATAGGGTAATCGCTTGCCCAGATCATGTCCCAACCACCCGCCGCTGAAATTTGGTGGAGAGAATGCTGACTAACCAAAACGGCAGCCCCACTCAGAAAATATTGGGGTATATAAACTCGCACTTTTCCCGATCTCTTTTGTTTTTGCTCCTTAGATCAAAAAGCATTTTTTTTAATGTTTTCTGAGCCGCCACGACCTTCACCCGACCTCTGGGTCACCTCCCACGGTGTCGCGTTGCCTTTCCCATTGCGGGAAACGCTCAGTAGATTATAACCCTTGGATATAGGAAATTCTCCGTCAGGTCGTTGTTTCGCAACGATGTCTGTAGGCGGTGTAATGCCAAGAAGGGGGGACATTCCATCCTGAAAATGATTTTGTAGTAAATTTCGCGCTGTTGATATCAAGCTGTGTGACATCGCGAAAACGCGTGCTGCTCATGAGGACTTGGCAGACGTTCGCTGTAAAATTCTGCATCGTGAACTTGACGTCGCTATGCAAGGTTTGGCTGGTTTCGAGATGCGGCTATTGCCCCCGTGTCTCGACCTCGTTCGTCCATGCAGAATTGCAGACCAATCCTTAAGCGAGCTTTGTCTTGTTGTAAGGATTAAGCTCATGAGGCTCAAGACCGTTATTGGATCATCTCCTAGCGTCCATATCCAAGACACTGTCGCAAGTCGCACTGCACTCGCTGCACGTCAAACTCGACTTCAAGACACTTGAATCATGAATTCATCACGTTGTAGGCAAATGTCCTATTATACAGCCCAAAAGCCTTGAAGAACCCCGTCACTCATCATTGGGAGAATCGCCCAGAATTCCATCAACGCCCTGACTTCTGTGCTGATCCCTTACAAAGTCTTCGATTTTGTCATCGTGATGCGGTCGCTCTGGTGGTCCTGGAGGCTTGTCTTCCTCCTTGGGCGGGCTTTGACGAGCAGGCAGGATCTTGGCTGCAGCCGGGACATATTCTGTGACTGCAACAAGTCAGCAACCTAGTTATGGTATGTAAAGAGTTTGGTAGATCATACTCTTCTCGACAACAGGATTGGGTTTCTGATTCTCCAGTTCACGGGTGCTATCCGCAGCCTTGTCCAGCTGCTCCTTGAAGCTCTCGTCTTGGACGTTGTTGTTCTGGTCCAATTCTTGAGAAGCCATTTTTGTTTCGTTTCAGGCGGATTGTGTTTCCCGTTGAAGGATGATGCTCCGATTAAGATCTAGACGAGAGAAGGATGCATGTAAATATTGTGTATCCCTACCCCATTTCCTTGTTCTGCCATCTTTATCCCCGGCATTGGCATACGCAATGGCGCAAATCCTCAATGCACCCCTGTGAAACCTTACGTTAGTCCATTCTTTCAGCTCTTGTCACCCTCTATAAAGTGACGTCAAGTTGCAGTTGGAGGGGTCGTTCCGATAAGGCCCGATAACGATTCAAAAGTCTATCTTATCGGACCGTTCTGAATGGATGGGCTGATGATCACCCAACATTATCACTTTTGTTTGTTCCGCTAATAATTAAAAGAGGTATTTTATCAGGAACAAAACTCTGACGCCCTCTCGTTTTCCTATAGGTGCTATTTTCAACCTCGATTCTCTTGAAAGTATAGTAAAGATGGCGCCAATTCCTATCACTATCGTTACAGGGTTTTTGGGATCAGGTAAAACGACACTGATTCTGAACCTGATCCCCCAACTTCGCGCCCAGAATCCAGACTATAAGCTTGCGCTTCTCAAGAACGAATTCGGCGATCTCGCAGTCGACTCACAACTCGCCGCCAACTCTGCCATCTCGGGTGTTCAGGAACTCCTCAACGGCTGCATCTGCTGTAACCTCGTCGGTCAACTCGGCCCCGCGCTCGAAGAACTAGAAAAGACCGTCACACCCGATCGCATTGTTATTGAAACCAGCGGCTCGGCTTTCCCCGCGACACTCGCTCTCGAAGTCAATCGCCTGGCGCGTGAGTCCGGGAAGTATATCCTCGACGGTGTCATCAGCGTCATTGACGTCGAGAACTGGAAGGGTTATGAGGACACCAGCTACACGGCGCGCATTCAAGCGCGCTACACCGATCTCATTGTCTTCAACAAGTGGGAAAATGTCAGCATGCTACGATACGACGAATGCCTTGACCGAGTCGGCGACCTGGAGGTTGACGTTGCCAAGGTCAAGAGCGACAAGGGCAAAGTGTCGATGGACTTGATCTTTGGTGTGGATGGTGGTTTGGCGAAGGAGTTGACAGAGGCAGATGTTGAAAAGACCAATGGCCACAGTCACGACAATTCCAATGGCGCAACAAACGGCCATTCTCATAACCACCAAAGCGAAGTCGAGGTTTTGTCAGTTGTCCTGAAAGCTGATCCTTCAGCACGAGTTTCGACAGAAAAGCTCATCGCTTTCCTCTCCTCCGCCCCCAAAGACGAAGCCTACCGCATCAAGGCCCTCGTCTCACTCTCATCAACGCCCACAAACTCCGATCCTGATATTCCTCCACCAGAGCCAAGCGCCTCCGGTCGATATATCCTCAACTGGGCATTTGGCCGCTGGACGTTCACACCCGTTGCGGAATCGCTGCAGGAGCATGACTCGAGCAGCGATGTTACACTACGCATGACGATAATTTTTGCGCGATATGAGAGCAACAAGTGGAAGAAGAGAATTGAAGCTGGTGGGTTGATAGAATTAGAGGGTGGAGATTCAAGCGATTTGACTGTTACAAAAATTATTTAGATTAGAACATAGACTGAAAAGTTGAGATGGACCAGATGAAACAAGATGTCACGAAGAGATAAAAGAGATGGTTATGAAAATATAGACTCATGATTGAATTGAAAGAACGCTTGTCGCTATTTGACCAGGATATAGAAAAACAAACCCGCTACCTGACATTTTGAATACATACATGATACAATCTTTTTTTACAGGCAATCTCCTGCAAGACTTTATATCCACCCAGGACCTGGATTGACAGGACTCGGGACAGAGTTCGCACCTGGCGCTGGCCCATTAGTGACTTTGTCGTCACTGAAGTTCTGCTCATCAAAGTAATAATCCGCCCAGTCATCTTCGTAAACATCAGCAGCCTCGGGAGTCTTGGACTTGATCATCCATGGATCATCGAATGAGGGACTATCATCGACCTTGGCCCTTGATTCAACCTCTTCCTGGAAGCGCTTGAACACTTCAGGCGTCGAGAGGGCCGACATTGGGGTTGGAGGAACTGAAGGGCCCGTCGCTACTGTCTTGACGGTCTCAGCTGGACTGCTGCAATGCGATGTCGGCGAAGCTGGCGGTGACAGTGAATTTGCTTCGGGATTCGAGGTGAGAGACGGGGAGGGGCGATGAAGCTTGGCGATACCGTCGAGAGACTGAGGAATCAGAGGAGGAGGACGGTTGTACTTCTTGACAGTTGGTTTGTGATGAAGTCGAGAGAAGTTGGGACTGATTTCGACCGGCGTGGCTGTGATGGAGTCATTCTCACAGCTTGAACAAGTCCCAGACGTCTCAGCGATTCCATTATGACATACGCGACACATTGGGTCCGAAACACTGTCTTGTCGAACATGAACTTGTGTAGAAGATGCGTGAACGGGATGAGAGTTGAGGGCATCTGCCGTTGGCTTGGAAGGCCTTCGCACAACGACTGTGTGAACAGACTGCTTGCGCTTCTGAGAATCTTGCGATGATCGACGAATAGCGACCATTTGAACTGATTGTTTTCGTCTGGGCCATCCTGAAGCTGAAGCATCGCTTGGTCGTGGTGATGAGATTGGTGAGACGCCAGGCGTGACGTGGTTGTCTACTCGTTCGAGTTTAATAGTCTTGGCTTCGCTGATGACTGCAGAAGGCGAGGGCTCTCTTGCAATGTTTAAATCATCAACAACTAAGAGGCTTTTTCGAATGGCCACTGAAGGTTGGGGAACCTGGGGCGAGTCTTGTGGTTTTGCTGTTGCTGTAGACTCAACGGTGTCGACCTTTTCTAGCGGACATGGCTCCTCTTCAGCGGGTGTAAGTGGCCCAAAGGCAGATTGGAACTGTCCATTAAACGGTCCAAAAGTTAATCGCAACGGTTGCTGTGCTCGAGGATGCTCCAGTCGTGGTTGTTCTGAAGGTGCCTGTATTATTCGAGGCTGCTTAATATGTGGTTGAATTGTGCGAGGTTGTTCTGTTGGTGGTTGCGGTTGTGGCTGTACTATTCGAGATAACTCATGTTGAGGCGGTCTCAATGGTGAGAGCTCTTCTTGCGCCGGTTCTCGCACAGGAGATAATTGTTTGTGATGCTGAATTTCATGCCGACGATGTATTTGCTCCACGAAAGAAGCCTTTCTCATATTAATAAGAGACTTTTTACAATCTTCGTCACTGGGAATATCGGCCTCAGTGATCCTCCTCGTAGGTCGGTCTGGATAGTGCAGCATGGTGAAATCTTTACTGGTTGAAGAGGTTGATTTTGCGACAGACTCAGAAGCTCTTCTAAATCCCCGAAAACTCAGGTTTCGGGGCGAGAGCTGGTCCCGCCAGCTGCTCATCTTATCGTCGTTGTTGGAAGTCCAAGAAGGCATCGTGAAGAGGTTGGCTTGGTGAAGAAGAGATAGAGTAGCCTGACTCGGAGCACAATGTCTCACAGGCCAGGAAAGAGAATTTCCCAGAAAACCTGATTTCAGCAGAATGGTAATCCCAGCCCCAGCCTCCGTTATAAGGAGATGTCTCTGGGGTCCCCTTTTTTGACAAAGCTGAGTGGTGTCAGGCTGCTTGACTGGAATGTAAGTGAAGTGATGGCGGGAGGGGCCCTGGGTCTTACAAGACAAGCCGCCCACCTCGGAGGATATCTTCAGTGGGTATAGAGCTCTGGGGAACAGAGCGGAACTGAACTGAACTTAACTTGGCTTGGAAGACGGAATAGAGTTTATCTTGGTAAAGAGAAATTCAAACCTTGTTAGATGGCCTAGTCACTTCTAGTATGCGCCTCGTCTCAACTATGGCGGCTCGGAGGTCCCGATGACACCAGGCAGTGTCATTGTGCGGGGGCAACTCAATCTTTTGGCTTCTGCAGTAACTAAATAGGTCACTTTAAGGCGTCAGAGGTGGTGTCAGGCACACGGCACAGGGACGGGAAAGGTACAAAGAGGAGAGTTTGTCTCCCAAGAATGCAAATGCAGTTTGGGTAACACCAAAAGTGCTCCAATCTTAACATCACCAACCATTGCCCCAGAGATGGGCCGCAAGAGAGCCCGAGCATAAAGACAAAAGTACACAATGAAAGCTGAAAATAAATTACCCTCTCATGATTCTTTCTCAGCGACGACTGACAGAGACTGAGACCGTGAGGTGACAGACAGCCACATGGCACATGATTCATGGCCGCAAGCCACCCAAAAAACCGCCTATCCTCTCCACTCACTACCCGATATATCCAGAACCTCAGAGACCATTCCAGTCAATCTTGCCCCTGAAATCCAAAACCTCGTGCAAGAATTCACAAAAACTATATCGACAGACTGGTGCAGCTGTTAGCTCCCACGATCTTGTCCCGTTCCTCGGTTCCTGTGCCTGACATGGTCTTTGCAAGGCTGTTCCTGGCTAGTAATCATTGCCGTCCTTTGTTGGTCATGACTCGGCTTACGCCATCTTTTAGAGACCTTCCATGTTGTCGACCAAGTGTGGTAGTATTTTCCTCAGTAGCCTCAATTCTTAGGCCCTCTAGGCCCTCTACATGGGTCATCCATGCTAGCTGTCAATCATGGGAATATTGCGGCTTTGTAATTGATTGATTCATTGATTGTTTGATTAAGCGATCGACTATAGGTTGACAGTTACTGTCATATTGTTGCTAAGAACCAACAGCGTTGGTGGCAGCTCATTGCACAGAACTTCCACATCAGACAGATACTGTATAGTAGAAGCTTCATCCAAGCAAGTGCCCTCCGAAGGAATCGGCAGCGTGCTGAGAAGAACAGCAGTCTCCTTGGAATGCTGTCGCATCAATTCGTTGACAATGAGATGCTGTGCTCTGCTTGGAAGCTCGTTGAAAGAGAGCTCCAATCCCTGCGGCGTGTAACCCGAATTTTGACCTTCCTCCTCTAGATGTGAACTTAATCTGTATCTTTCAAGCATCTCTGGAATTTGCTCATAGGATTCGCCCCCTCCTTGTGTAGAT